ACGTTGCAAACAACCTAAATAAATGGATCATTACTTTGTTAATGCGTTGAAATTGTAAGTCCAACAACCCTATACCAAAACAGGGTTTTAACACTGATTATCAAGGAGGAACATTCTCAGGGTTAAAAGAGCACCAAACCTACTTGAGAAAGCTTACTAATGAACCACAAATCCACTTTTGGCTGAAGCATTACATTTTCCTCCGATTTAAATTCCTCACACCCCTCGTAAACTTGCAAAATTTGCTCAAAACAGTTTCCTTATAAATTTTTAGTGCACCTTGAGTTTGGGTCTCTTTGTTTGTGTTGATACTATCTAAATTGAGGGCAGGAAGGATCTTTCCTGCCACCCAAGATCATGTAGAAGCCCTAATCTTGACAAAAGCGCCCAAAATAGGTAGAAAATAAGTAGAAAATTGAAAAATTGTGTTTTGGATTTTTCTGGCTTATATGGAATTGTTGGTGCTAGGGACTATATAGCAATTGTTTATTAGAGTAAAAGAAGTGAAATGAGACGTACCAGGGTCAAATCCAAGGTGGAGTATTTTGGGTATGAGAGTTTCGATGAATTCGACAAAATTGCTCGAGTAGGCCAAACCAAGCAACGTACAAAACTTGGCCTACCACCATTTTTCTCCTTTTTTTATGACTAGAAAGAAGAAATGCAAGCCAGAACTAAGCGAACAACTTTTACCATGAAAAAATCAGAAAGCGACATTTTTACGCTACATTAGTCAAATTTAGAAAAATGCAAATATCTCAGGTTCTATTTGAGCTAGCCAACTTTCCTTTTAGGGTTGATAGGTCCTAGTGGTACCTATTGAACCCACAAAGTTTGAACCGAATCCGTGACCCAATCCCAGATTTCGGTCCACCTTGGGGTGGAGTTACTCAGTGTGACTCCGATGAGTACAGCACACCTACACTCCCAATCTACCTTCAGGAGGAGAAGTGCGGACACACATACAATACTTTTCAACCCCACCCTAGTAACACTCTAAATGTCTGACAATGAAATTTGACTTATGTCATTCGTATGTTGCAGTGAATCCAGCGCAAGCATAATACGAAGCAATATACCTTTGTAATACGAATCTTTGTAGCGTTATTATTGTAAGACACAAAGAAAAACTTTCGTAATACGAAGAAAAATCACCTTCATTTTATGCTTGCGCCATTTCCTTCGTATTATGGGAAATATCTTTGTAAGTAAAGAGTGAACCGGCTTCGCTGTAGCTCAGCCAACAAAGCAAATTCTCAGCTGTCTACGACACAAATTTATCAATATGCAGAGAAATTTGTTCGTAATGTAAAGAAATTGATCGTTAGTTCCATCACCATATGTTACTTCCTTTGCTGTGCCGTCATAACACCAAGCTTTTTGTTCGTATCGAAGAAAAAGCTCAGTGGGAGTGTAGCATTACATGCAGCTGAAGGTGCGCACTCATCTCAGCACACACTCTTCATTGGGAGTGTATTCGTGAGTAAGGGCTTACGAGAGTGTACTCTGTTTACTTTGCAGAGAAGAAATGTTAGCAGCGAACTCACTGGTGAAACAGTCGTGCGGAGTCAGAGTGAGCGTCAACAAGCTAAATTACTGTGGAATCACTGTGAAAGCACGGTGCGGAGGTTACGGACGCATACACGAAACAGGATGACAGCACAATGAATGAAGATAGGCATCGGCTTATGTGGTCGCTTAGTTAGTCGAGCCTAACGCACTGGTCCGGGCTGTTCTAGAACAAACTTAGCTCGGAAGCAGTAATACGCTAAATTACTACGTATAGTCTTTTAGTAAAACACTATATACATAGTAAGTTAGTGTGTAAAAATGAGAGAACAAGTGGCAGTAGGGGTAGGTCGGGGAAGAAAAGTACAAAACGTGTACTTTGCACTGTACAGCAGTTCCAAATGACGATTCAACTATTCTGCTCTCGTGAACTTATAATCCAGTCCCTTCCTGATGAAATGGATCACTATTCAATGCTTGTAGTTCCTCACATTACGTACAAGATGCCAAAATATATGTGATTTGGGCACTTCTCGAAAAGGGTAAGAAAAGTACACCACCGGGAAAGAAAAGTACAACGAAAAGAATTGCGATGTCGAACCAGAAGACCCCCAATCTTGGCTCTACAGGTTTACCCCTAAAGTGGAGAGTTTTCACTTGCCACTAGTTCAAGTTTCGTCAAAATCGGTCCATTGGTTCTCTTTCTACATGGACTCATTATAAAAGGTCCAAGAAGCCTTTTCTCAGAGATAAGTGGGCACAGCATTTTTGTACTTTTCTTCCCCCTTTCACATTCCTTTGAATGTAAACAAGCTGGTTTTTGGCCAATTCACACCCAAACGAATGTGACACAATGCTCAAACGAACGTGACATGTTGTCTTGTTCGTTTCAACGTGATGTCACGTTCCTGGAATGAGAATGAACACTGGCCCGTCCCGTGAAATTAAACTGTTTGAAAATTTTGAACTAATCCACCCACAGGTTTTCTTCTCTGTTAAAATCCGCGCTCAGTGTAACGTTTCTCCGAGACAAACTAACATACCACAAAACACACAAGACATTTTTTCGTATCTCAGCTGGGTTAAAATTACATGCAAACATTTACGTAACTGATAACTTCACGAATGTTGTTTACAAACTAAACAAAAACGGATATTCGAGTGATCGGCCCAACTGATGGAGATATCAAGAACTACGGGTTAGAAGTACAAATGTCGGCCAAGGCGCACCAAGTCTCTCATACAGTTGTTCCGGTATTTTATGTAGCATTTCTCGTTCCATGATAAGCTTTACACTAAATTACTACATAGTTTTTTTGTGCATAATAAAGCATGCACCTGAAACACACGAATTCATACTCAACAGCACACACACACACACACACACACACAGTCTCGTATTGACTCTTTATCTCTTGCTACAAAGTTCTTTGTGCAAACGTAATATGTACTATTTTCTCTTTAGATATGCACTATTTTGATCATTGTATAATGTATTTAGTCCATTAAACCTGACTTTTTGTCATTTGCAATGTACTTTTCAATTTCTACATGATCTATTGACAATTTTATCCTTTAAATGATCAAAATTGTGCATAGTTAAAGAGAAAATAGTGCATTTTACGTATGCTTAATAAACTTTGTAAGCAAGAGAGAAAAAAATCCATTTAGGTCTGAGAGTGCTCTTTCCGAGGGGGGAATAACTTCCCCTTTTGGTGAACACATGATTGCAAAGAGGCGGGATTTCGTGGGATTTCATGGATTTCGCAGGATTGCGCCGGATTTCAAGGATTGCGTAGATTGCGCCGGATGTCTTTAGATTACAGGCGATTTCAATGATTGTGGTCGGATTTCATAAGATTGCGATGGATTTCACAAGATTGCAATAAGATTGCGATGGATTTCACAAGATTGCACTAGCGCTGAATGCAAGATAATTCTGTTGGAACACGCGAGAAATACCGTTTATTTTCGTGGGTTGTCATTGTGTCTATTTTCTTTTATTTTTTACAGACAGGGGGTCTTTTAAAGTATAGGTGGCAGTGCTTTGGTGTTTGGTGATTTAGTTGCTTACTATGAAAAACTTTGACAGCCAGCCACAGGCTGAACTCCCAACTCCTATTAGTTCCAAAGTTATGAGGGTTTTAGTGTTAATTTAGTCGTTTGTTAAAAATTCTCCTTGCGATGAACCAAAAAGTTTACGGAAGTGTAATTTTTAAAATTAGAGCCCAATAGACGTGCAAACAGACTAGCAAGGTCAGATTTGACTGTATATGCAAAGGGCAGCCGGAATCTTATTTTGAAAAATGTTTTTTTTCCTTATTTTACGAAAATTGAAAAAAATTTGGATTTTTTTTTGAGAAAAATTCCTGTTATATGTTGGAAATTTGGAAATTCGGCTTTGCCTCGCGATAGGCAAATAAATAAACAACTTGTAAAACAAAAATGAAGTCTCGACAACTTTTGATTCTTCGCAATGGGAATTTGGGAGAAAGACCAAATTTGTTACGTAAACTTCAATAACTCAGAAACTTATGGGAGTTGGGTGCCTCAACTTTGGGTTTAAGTCCATCTTATAGTAAGCAACTAGAAACCAAAACACAAACATGATGCCACAATTATTTTGAATAATGATATTTCAGATTTTTTCACTTTACAGTAACCTTAAAATTATTGCGAGACCGCTCCGTTTCTTACGTATTTATTGTTTGCTTTTTTTTTTGACCTAATATCCTGTCCGATGTCCCCGCGCCTGCAAGCGGAAACCGTTTGAGTGGGGCAGGGGCGGCTATTCAGTGAGGTCAGCACGGGCCAACTAATAACGAAGGAAAGGAGCGAGTGAGGAGGAATTATTGGCCGATAGACCCTGTCAGTCGTCAGTGAAGAACATAAGTAATCAAAAATTAGGAACCAGATGCGCGCCACCTAGCGGCCACTGCTACGGACTTCGTCCAGACTTACGCTTGTGACCAATGAGGGTTCAGCTTTTGACAGTGCACAGTAACGGCCGCTAGGTGGCGCGCTACTGGTTCCTGTCTTTTTGATTACTTTTGTCCTTCTCCAGGCGATGACTGAAAGGGTCTATTGCAAGATTACAATGTTTTCGCTAAGATTGCGCAGGATTGCGGAAGATTTTGGAAGGATTTCGCGAGATTGCAGAGGATTTCGCGGGATTGCGGCAGATTGCAGAGGATTTCAAAGATTTCTGATGATTGTATGGATTTCGGAAGATTGCAAGGATTGCGGCCTGATTGCGACTCGGTGAACACATGATTGCGGGAGTCGCGGCCCCCTCGGCTCTTTCGTGCTTACGTTATTTACGAACTAATTCGTGTATTTTAAAAACGCATGTACAATTTTGTGCAAAAAGGTAATGCACATGAAACTTCCAATATTTTCCCGGACGATAGCGGGCGGAACTGATAAGATTATTTCCATGACGGCGTTTCGTTTATCTGACTGGCGTCCTGAAACCGCGAATCGCGGACGATCGAGTTGAGGTAGACCCGCGCGGCTAGTCGGTGCTCGACGGCCTCGCGACATGGAGGACGAAGAGGACTCTCCTGTGAGTCCACCAGGCCCGCGACGGGAGTCATCTCGACGACGCACAGTGGGCCAGAAGACCGGTGGAGGCGGCCAAAATCCCGAACGCCTTTTGAGCTCCAGAGTCGCCACATGGAACTCGAACCGAACGTGTGGCCCGACCAATGGATTTCTCTTTCGGAGAGCAGTCTGGTGGCGTCACACGTTCGGTTCGAGCCCTGACACTGGAGCTCAAAACGCGTCTAAAGTTTTGGTCGCCTCCACCGGTCGTACGTGCGCAAGCCACGTCATCTCGACGACGCCAAAGACGCCCCTGTTACGGACGGTTCTAGGTGGCCACGCTGCCCCCGGAGTTGCTGCAGCATGTCTTCTCGTTCCTGGACATGACGAACCTCTGCGCGGTGGCGGACGTCTGCCGAAAGTGGCGAGATCTTTCGCGGTGCGCGTCGCTCTGGAGGCACCGTCACGTAGATCTCGACTGTGCCGAGGACGGTTTCCTCTTCCTGAAGATCATGAAGAACGCCCCTGAACTGGCCAGCATCACGGTTGAAGAAAATAGTGTACCGGGTTTCTCGGACATTGAACCCTTGGAGCCTGGATCGATGGTTAGGAGAAAGTCCGCAATTTTGTTTACCAGAAAATTGTACTTTCGAAGTACAACAGTTGTTGTACAAAGTTACAATGGAACCGGCATGACGAGTGCCGTGCAGTCCGGTCGTTGTTGTGGTTTGCACGAATCTCGTTGTACTTCATACAGTCTCTGTTGTTCTTTTACTGTACATTTTTTTGGTTGTACTTTCGTTATACTATTCACATAACACATTTTCTTGCAGTGCATTGCCTCCTTCTTTTAGGTGTGCGACACGGTACGCGCGCTCCGTGTCGGTTTGAAGGACGATGAGTCACCCCACTACGACTCCGCGCTGGCCTTGCTGCGTCGCTACTCCCCGACCGTAGAGACACTCGAGTTGGGGGCGTTGGACGCGGAGATACTCCACGCCCTGGCGGCGGCGCGGCGTCTCCGCAAGCTCAAAATCGTCAGCCCTCTTCGCGAGTCGGTCACCGTGTCGGCGCTGAGGGCGGCTGTCCAGACCTGCGGAGCCATCGAGGACCTGGACTTGGAAAGGATGTGCGAGTACGCGGAGCAAGATGGTACACTGAGAACACCTTGCAAACTATTTCAATGCAGTTTGTTAGAACAAAGTATTTTGAGCATACATAAGCTTACAAACAAAATACCACGATGGGTCCTATGAACAAGGATCGATGTCTTTTGCGTCGGTCGAACAAAAGTCGATATCCTTCGGGTCGCTCGAACAAAGACCGATCTCCATTTCGGCCGTTTCTGCATTCACCGCTTTATCTTGTGATTCTCGCAACAGACATCCAACTCAAGTAATAGTTTGCAGGTTTCGAACCTATTAGAGAACGATTATCCAAAGCTCATTTGTGTGGAATCAAAACGTAGAGATTGTTCTGGGACTTCAAAATGAACGTGTTCTACAACACTGCAATGCCAATGGTAAGTTAACTTGCCACAAATTTGGCAAGCCATTTTGAATGCCAAAAATTGGCAAGTTTGGCCCGGAAATACTCCCCAGCTTGCCAAAATGTGGCAAGCTAATGAAGATTGCCAAACAAAGCTTGCCAAATTTTGGCATTCAAAACGGCTTGCCAAATTTGTGGCAAGCAAACTTACCACTGGCTTTGCAGTGAATGTCATCATTCCCTTCGTACTATACAGATGCTTCGTAGAGCTGTTTGAGAAGAGTCGTTAAGACTGACTTTACTCGTCAGATAGCACAGTCGAGCCCAGCGAGGTGGTCCGGGAGTTCGTCGGGGCCACGGGGAGCACACTGCGCAGCCTCAATCTGCCCGCCAGCTTCTGGGGCATCGAGGACGACGTGCTGGACGAGGCAAGGGTCACAGTTTCTGTCACAACACTTCCAGCACGTTATTGAACTTTGTTGAACTTGTCAGTCAGTTATGCACTGTTAAAAAAGTTTGTTAAAAATGACAACAGCACAATTAACAACCGGTGACAACGCTGTTGCTCATGAACAAATTTCCTTGTTTAAAAGCTACGAATTTGTTGCTAATTATTTTATTGACTTGTGCTGTTCTAAAACAATCTTTTGCTGCGTACAAACAGTCCGGATAATCCAACTAGTGACTACTGCGGGTCACCGGGACTCAACTAGGTCTCTGACTCAATCGGCAATCAAAATTGATGCTCTTAAGGCTGTCTACTGGTTTACAAACATCTTGTTGACGAACGACGTAAGCCATCAACAACTTTCGTCAGAAAATTAGCAACATATTTACTGCTATACTACTGTGCTACACTATATATGACAGTGCGAGTAATTTGTGCAATGCGTGCTTTTCGTTTCTCAAGGAACTACCTTTGAATTATTAAACTGTGTACTGACTGTTTTTGTAAACAATTTTACAAAGGAATTAGTCACACTTACTTAAAAATACTACGCATTGTCATTGCTTCAACGAATACGTACATAATGAGGAAAATTCAGAAACGTGCTGAGAGTGAATGTATCTGCTCACGTCACACTTAATCTCTCGGGATATTTTCGTCACCATCTCGAAACAAGTATGTGTACATTACCAAAAGGTGACGCAATCGTAACTCGCTATTGACAAGTCTGTGTTTGAATGCACTAATTGTTTCCAGTTGGTCACACGAATTTATCAGACATTTAGAGTGCTGTAAAATTATCATCTAGTACTAAGAAAGTTCTTGACAGGCTGCGAAGAAGTTCTATGTAGACTACGAATGATTTTGCCTTCGCTTTTCCAACAAATCGTTACAATCTTTCAAACTACAGTGCCTTCCTTATACTGCGAAGTCACCGTTTTCTTTGTAGCTACAAATAACGTTCCTTGTGGGAATATGAATTTGCAGCTGTTTGAGACCTTTTTTCATCTTTTTCTGGTACACCTGCAGGTGGTGAGGAAATGTGTGCTGCTCGAGTCGCTGGGGGCTGAATTCCGCTACGCTAACCGTCTCATCCAGTGCCTGCCGCGCCTGCGCAGTCTGCGGCTGGTGTCGTCGGAGCAGACGGCGACCAGGGAGTACATCGAGGACTTGCAGCAGGTGGTGCGCCTCGGCGTAGGGGACGCCGTACCCTTAGCACGAGTGGAGCACCTGGCCCTGCAATTATACTACGTGGCGTACCAGGTAAATCAAAGGCATATGCCTCTCAGACCTCTCAGACCTATATAGACTATTTTCTCTCTTGCTTATGACGTTTTTTGAGCAAACATAAAATGTACTATTTTCTCTTTAACTATGCACAATTTTGATCGTTGTGAAGATAAAATTGTCAATAGATCATGTAGAAATTGAAAAGTACATAGCAAATGACAAAAAGTCAGGTTTAATGGACTAAATATATCATAAAGTGAACAAAATCGTGCATAGCCAAAGGGAAAATAGTACACATTACGTTTGCACAAAAACCTTTATGGCAAGAGATAAAAAGTCAATAGGAGACTGAGAGTTGTTATAGCAACAAGGGAAAGTGCACTTGAAATGTCTTACTGTGATAGGCTGCACCAAACATATGGTGTAGATTTTCGCCATAATACCAACGAAATTCGTCAATGGTATGTTATGGTATGGTATATTATGGTCAAATGGTATGTTATGAGGTCAGCTGCACCACCATAATATGGAACGTTATCACCATTACATGGAGAATCTTAACTGTAGAACATTTAGAGTGTGGCGAAATCAATCGGCCCGTTCCGTGTGGTTTAAAATCCGCATATTTCGTGTAGTTTTGGGTCAAAATAGATGTTAATTTCGTCATCCATCAACACCCTCAAAAAGATGTCAAGCAATGCAAACTTGGAATAACAAATATGGTACCCACCGGGATTTGAACCCGGGTCCACACTCCTCTGATTTGCTCGGAACAAGCACTGTTGGCTTAGTCCAGTCGCCTCGATTCCAAAAATGCCCCTTCATTAGGGTGGTCCACTTTTTTTAAAAGTTTCAAAAATTGAGGAGCGCCGTCCAGATTCTGCAAGTAGGTGTAAAATCATGAATTTTGATACAAATATGATAAGATTTGGACCATTCTTAGGGGTCCATCAACGCGCCTGAACTTTAAAGAAAAATTGAAAATGTACCGGTTTACTAAAATCGATGCTGTAACAAGAGTCTTTGTCCGATTTTCAATTGCAAAACGGCAATCTTTTCAGAAAAGTGCGCTCTACTGGATGATGTACATAACATGACGATCCGACGCATTGCCTATTTTCCAGGGGCTTATAATCCCGTTTTTAGCCCTTAAATCCAACATGTTCCTGCGTTTCGAAGGTGTTTGAGTCGTCCGATCGGATTTTTTGGGTCGCCATTCGACGCGCCTGATCGAAACCTTTCGAAAAATGTCTCAGGCGTCAAAATCGGTTGGTTTGCCTACTGTACAGGAGCAAAAAACCATTGAAATTCGCTTAAAAATTTATTTTTTGGGATACAAAATATCTTGTTTGGCATCGGGTTGAATTTCTTGCGGTGCCATTTGACGAGCCTGGTCAAAAACTTTCGATTACCGTTTCGGGCGCCCGAATCCGGAGGGTTGCGTATCCTACAGACGAATTTTTCGACATTCGACATTTTTTTGCTTGTAGGGTCGGCAACCCACCGAAATTATACACCCAGGACGGTAATCGAAAGTTTTCGACCAGGCGCGTCAAATGGCACCACAAGAAATCCGACCCGATGCCAAACAAGATATTTTGTATCCCGAAAAAGCAATTTTTAAGGGGAGGTTCTGGTGAAAATCTTGCCATTTTCCAAATGGATCCTACAGTCATAATTTGTTTGGAATATAAAATTTTTCATTGAGGAGACTAAAATTTGACTTTTGAAGGCACATGCCAGGCTGTAAACCCAGTCGAAGAGTCTTTTTGAGCCTATTTTGGCTGTATCTTAAAAAATCTCCTTGCGCATACTATTTTGTCGTAAAAGGTTGACCTTGACATTTTTCACTTCTTCGACTCATTTTCAGAAGATACCGGCATGCAGAGCTCAAAACTTCCATTATATTATTAGTTATTAGCTTTTAAAGCTGAAAAGTCCCTAAAATTTGACTATTTTGTACATTTTTGATCAATTATAGTGAAATGCTTGGTAAGAAAGCTTGCGAATAAAAATGCAATTGACACTTTGAGATGTGCATGCCGGCATTTTTAAAAAATGAATCGAAGAAGTGAAAAATGTCTAAGCCAACCTTTTACGACAAAATAGTATGCGCAAGAAGATTTTTAAAGTTATAGCCTAAATGGGAGAAAAAGGCTCTGTGACTGGGTTCAGGGCATGGAATGTGCCTCCCCAATGAAAATTTTTAATAAATACTTGATAAGACATCAAATTTTTAACAAATTTTCACAGTGGGACCTATTTAGGAGAAAATAGCATTTTCACCAGAACCTCCCCTTAAGCGAATTTCAATGGTTTTTTGCTCCTGTACAGTAGGCAAACCAACCGATTTTGACGCCTGAGACATATTTCGAAAGGTTTCGATCAGGCGCGTCGAATGACGACCCAAAAAATCCGATCGGACGACTCAAACACCTTCGAAACGCAGGAACATGTTGGATTTAAGGGCTAAAAACGAGATTATAAGCCCCTGGAAAGTAGGCAATGCGTCGGATCGTCGTGTTATGTACATCGTCAAGTAGAGCGCACTTTTCTGAAAAGATTGCCGTTTTGCAATTGAAAATCGGACAAGGACTCTCGTTACAGCATCGATTTTAGTAAACCGGTACATTTTCAATTTTTCTTTAAAGTTCAGGCGCGTTGATGGACCCCTAAGAATGGTCCAAATCTTATCATATTTGTATCAAAGTTCATGATTTTACACCTACTTGCAGAATCTGGACGGCGCTCCTCAATTTTTGAAACTTTTAAAAAAAGTGGACCACCCTACCCTTCATGCCCTCCTAGCTGTATCGGTTGCCGAAATCCTTCTTGACCCGTGGACCAATTTGCTGCACCGGGCGGTTCTGAGGATCACCATAGGAGGCTGCATACCAAATTAGGCGAAGATCACACCATCGGAAGTCCGCGAACGGACGGACCGACGAACGGACCAGGGCTGGGACGGGATGGGCCAAAATCTTCGCCCTAATTGGCATCACAGACGCTTCAGGGGCGTTAATAGTTTACGCATTCATAGGGCATCATTAAATGATAATTTTTTACCTTTGATTCACCAGTGGGAGGACGCCGACTACGCCACCGCGCTCATGAGGCTCTGCCCACGACTGCAGTCCCTGGACCTGGATATCGAGGGTTTCGTGTACATCGCCCAGGACGTCCAGGTCACCCTCGGAAGGCTGCGAAACCTGCTGGAGGCCGCCGGCACGGCTAGGACGCGGTTGAACATCTTCAGCGAGCCAAACAAAGCCGTCGAGGAGGCCGTGTTGTCCGTCATGCCCTCCATCGCCGAGCTGACCTTCACCACCAGCAAGCAGTGTTAGTTAAGTGTTATGTTAAATTAAGGATCCCTGTATTCGATCCAAATATGTTTTACCGAAGACTGTGAACTCTCATATCAAAAAATGTGTGGTCTTGAGCAGAGTCATGGACAGATCTTATTGTATAGCGTAAGAGTTGAATGTCCGTAACGCTGCATTTGTTACACGATGATGTGACACAGTGTGTAATACTCACTGCCCCGAGCCGGAGAAGTGTGTAACTGTTTCGCATTGCCCCGACCCGTGGTAACAAGTAAAGAAAGTGGTAGGTAACAAAAGCGATAATGATGATTTGTTCATTTTAATGAGTTTATTTCATCTAAAACAACAGAAAACGCAGGACACTTCATTGTTCGACATACTCAGCAATGTACTCAGAACACTCTCTTCGGCATGTAATTACGAGTACACTCCCACTTACGTGTTCTCATTCTCATTTGAGTATACAAAAAAAGTCTACGAAGCGTCGCTTCGTAGTACGAATAAATCGAAGGCATTTTAAAATCTGCGATGAAATGCTTCGCAACACGAAGACTGCAAATTTCTCACGGTAAAAACGGTAGCAGTTTTTCCCAGGAAGCCCATGGTAGAGACATAGGTGATTTCCAGTAAGTTCCTTGGAAAACCAGGAACCGTGTTTACCGTGCTACAAAATTCATGAAGTAAGGTCAAAATTCAAAGAAATTCTAAAAAAAAAAACCTAAAAAAACCCAGAGGAACTTATCAAAATTCATGTAAATTGGGCTGCAATTGATTTTAAAATCCACCCGAAATTCCTCCGGAAATGATCAATTTGGACTTGGACACGACAATTGGAAGTTTTTGGTCATTCCCCCAGGGTTGTGGCGAGTATGGGCACGGAGCTGCCCGGGCCGCCACTGCCGAGGCAACGCACCGACACGTTGTACGTGGTGGACGGGTGCAGGTCGGCGAGGGTCACCTCGTAGTGGGGCCGCTCCTCCCTCGTCGGCAGGGAGTGCCCCAAGGGGTCCGGGACGTGGAGCTGCTCCCCGCTCTCGCTTGCAGAGTCGCGGACCACCTGCAGAGGCATATACTTGCCTGAGTACACAACAATACAGTGGCGCCAACACGTGGGTGCAGGGTGATTTGGGGTGGGTGGGTGGTTGCTGTGGTGGGTGGGGGAAGGGGAAAAGAGAAAGGGAAAGGGGAGAAAAAGGAAAGGAGGAGAAGAAAAGGAAAGAAGGAGAGGAAAAAGAAGAGAAGGGAAAAAAGGGGGTTGTAGGGGGCTGGATATCAGTCGCTCCCCCTAAATGAAATTCTGTGGGCGCCACTGCAACTATAGATGCATACTTCGTTGGCAGAGTACACTTCTTTAGCTGCAGACTAAGCTGATTACACATCTACAGATGGAAACCTCGCGTCAAAGCCGGTGGTAAGTTTGCTCGCCACAAAGTTGGCAAGCCGTTTTGAATGCCAAAATTTGGCAAGCTTTCATCGGACATCTTCTCAAGCTTGCCAAATTTTGGCAAGCTAGGGAGTATTTCCGGGCCTAGCTTGCCAATAGACACTTCTAGCAGGGTCTGAAGTGAAGAACAAGAGGCAGAACATAGACCGGAAACAGTACAAGAAGAATTCGGCCGTTTACGGGGGTTTTGGCAGGTTTAAATCACATTCTATTTTTAAATTCAGCTTTCTTGAATTTTTGGATTGAGAATAAACACTCGTCATCAATAAATACGCCTGCCAGCTACTTCCGGCTTATGATCTTCTTCTTGTTCTTCACTTGAGGCCTGGCCAGAAGTGTCTATTGTTTGCATTCGAAACGCCTTGCCAATTTTGTGGCAAGCAAACTTACCACTGGCTATGCAGTGTTTGCTGTATGCAGTTGGCTCAGTAAACATTTACAGATGCATAAATGGTTGAGTACACGTCTTCAGATGCAGACTTAGCTGAGTACACAGCTACAGATGCACACTTGACTGAGTACACATCTAATGGATTAATACTTGGCCGGGTACACATCTTCAGATGCAGACAGCTCAGTACACCAGTAAACGAGGGGGAAATCACTCGCGTAATAGTCGGGTCACCGATTCCTAGTATTACGCGTAATAGTAATAGCGTAATAGCCAAATTTTTTAAAATTTTCCCTATTTAAGGTCTGATTTTAGCCCAAATATGGATAATTTCGAGCGTAATAAGCCTTCTGTAATAGCGTAATAGAACGTAATAGGGAGTAGTCGGGTCACAGTTTTTAAGAGTGATTTCCCCCTCGCCAGTAAACATCTGCAGATTCATTCTTGGACGAGTTCACACCTTGGCCGTCACCATGAAGCCCAGCAGGTCGCCGTGGAGGAGGCTCGGCAGTTGCCAGCGAATCAGCACTGCGTGCGGTCCAGGTTCTGCATGCAGGTTCGCCACCTCTTCCGGAGCTGAAGAGGGAATTTCTCTTATACTCCCAGGATCTTACAGAGCTTTTTTTCGTAATACGAATAAAGAGCCTAGTATTTAAACAGCGCAGCGAAATTGGCAATGAATGCATGCATATACCCTTACGAAGTGTTTCGAGCATATGGCGCAAACTATTTTCGTTAGTAACTCGTTTTGTTCGGATTGCGAAGAATCAATAAGCTATGAACTTTGCAGTGCACTTTATATTGGTCAGTAGTAGACCCCTCCCCGCCTCTGCACAATGCATGGATTGCCCAACACACTGAATGTTTAGGTAGAGTTTTGTACGTGAAACTTGAACGATTTTGTGCATACGTGGAATTTGCATCATACACTGCGAAAAATGCGTGGTTTGGTACGGAAAATGTACGGAAAATGGGGTACAGAAAAGGTACGGACCTTCCGTACTGGTTCTCTGTGGTCTCTATAATGATCTCATGTAAACTTATAATGATCTCATGTAAACTGGTACGGAAAACATACACAGAACTTCCGTCGTTGGCAAGGTACGGACGGTCCAGGTAAAAAATTGATCAGACACGTTCCGTACTTTTCCCGTACTTTTTTCTACCAGTGTATCATGCGTAAAGATGCCTAAATTTATGCAAATTCACGCAGAGTTTTGTGCACGACGGTACACAGGTTTAAAATTATGCATCACACACACAATTGTACATAAACATTTAGTATGAATGGTTACAAGATGCTTACGCCCGTCTTCAGTGCTGATGGTCGCCAGTACTTCCTCTCCGCGCTCATCCCTCTCCAAGTTGGTGGCACTGATGCGCACAGCGCGCGTTGCGGAAATTCTCAGTCGATGGACGACGCAACACATGTGGTCAGGCCACAGCGGACAGGTGTCGTTCGCCTTCACGATCTGGAAAACGACAGGCCGGAATTCGGTTCCGTGGATAGGCGCTGTTGTTTCTGGAAGTCAGCTCCACTGGTAAAACTGAAGCGAAGAAATACGCTGAGAAATACGCTTCAAGGTCATGCCCCCATGCGTTTAGATAGCAGGAGCGGAGGGCACGAGCTCTTGGCAGGAAAGGGCGTACACACTGCAAGAAAAAGTGTGAAAAGTACAACAAAAGTACAACAAAAACTGTACAATAAAAGTACAACAGGGATTGTAGAAAGTACAACGAGAATTGTACAAACCACAACCAGCCCTAGACTGCCCAGCACTCGTCATGCCGGTTCCATTGTACTTTGTACAACAATTGTTGTACTTGAAAAGTACACTAAATCCCTGATAAAAAATTTGCCAGAAATTTGTGTACTTTTGTTGTGGTTATTTTCTGCAGTGCAGACTGTACTCGTCACGCAAGACGTAAAACTGCGCCTTTTAACCAGTGTCCATCTTTAGGTGACGCTGTATTTGTTATTCCAATATTATGCGAGGAACACCCCTTCAACAATGCAAATAATGAGTTTTTTTTTTCAAGAATTTGCGGTGGAACCAAGTGGTCAAGTTAGTCATTTTGGCATCTTCGCAAAATTATTCGTATGATAAACAAATCTGGGCATTGGTTACTTGATGTTGTTATTCAACTGAAATAAACTCACTGAAACACAAGAAGTGGCACTCCTCAAAGAAAGATTTGGAGGAGTGCCATTCTGCCATGCATCTTAAAGATAGTGGCTTATTTTGTTTCAAAGCACAGTGTTTACTTCTCTTACCCTTACCAGAGGGTTTAGGTTGTCGACGCGTACAGTGTAGTGGTCCAGAGTGCCTCCCGGTACCGCTGGCGGACACCAGCGCAGCCACAACGAAGTGGCGTTCCAACGGTATGCCGTCAAATCCAGGGGAGCGGAGGGTGCTTCCGGAATACGAGGAAACGGAACAAATGAAAGCAATGACGTGGAAGCAAGAAGCTACACGAAAGTTTGTCATTCATTGAAAACACTCTCATTCCAGGAACGTGACATCACGTTGAAACGAACGTGTCACGTTCGTTTGAGCATTGTGTCACGTTCGTTTGAATGTGAACAAGCTGATTCTTGGCCAATTCACACCCAAACGAATGTGACACAACGGTCAAACGAACGTGACATTTTGTCACGTTCGTTTCAACGTGGTGCCACGTTCCTGGAATGAGTGTGAAGGCACTGCAAATCCAAGTTTGAGACACTGTGGGACAGGCAGCATGTAACACATTGTCCCACTTTCCGTAGTGCATGGGTTTTTAAAGACCCTGTACTGCGAAAAAAAACCCTCAATTTTCACTGTAGAAATAAATTACCAGAATTTACGACGGTTCCTCTGGAAATGATGTCGAAGGAACCTTCGTAAATCCACGACGAATCTTGGTAATTTACTAAGATTCATGCTTAATTCTCGAAGATTTTTTCGTGAATTCTCGAAGAAACTTTGTGAACTCACGCAGATTCTTCGCAAATTTACGATGAATCTTCATTAATTCCCAAAGGGACCTTCGGAATATTTTTTTACCGTCGCCAACCCCTCTTCATTTCCTACAGTATGAAACATTGGCCGGAAGGAAGCTCGCTCACACATCTGAAATTTCCATCGCAAATATTGAGGGTTTCGAAATGTAGGCCCTTTTCTAGTACCTGAATTAAGTGTTGTGATGATGAGATGTGACCAGATAATTGGTTTCGCCTCTGTCCAGGCTGTATTAACGACGCCAACGCTAAATTGGTACTCCTGGCCGGGCTCCAGATCGTTCAAGGTCAGCCTGGTTAAAGTTGTGCTCCCTGCACTCAACACGACGTTCCTGGAGGAGTAAAAATGTCTTAAACGTTGAAACGTTGCAGCAATGTCAATGTATCGGGTGCCTTGTTTGCTTACTCTGGTTTTTCGAGTTTCCACTGATAAAACTTGAAAAATCCATGAAGATTCTGACAGTTGTCAGCCTGACGCCACTGTACGATTGCGGAGATGTTGCTAACAGAAGGCTCCAGGAAATTCACTGTTATGTCCGCAGCTGTAGCAACCAGGAACTAACAGATTCTTAACCGAGTTAACAGAGAAATCATAGGTGCCTACTTGCATGTGACAACATATTTTTCGAAGCAGAAGCCTTAAAAGCCTTTCATTAATCATGAAAGGCATTTTTCATAAATGCTAAGCTTTACGAGTTTTACGCTGCAAGGGACCCTCAAGTTCCAATTTGTTACTCGAGTTCAGATACGTACGTGCAAACTCGATCTAAAGCATTTTTTTCTGAGAGACAGGCCGTCTTACATGATGAATTTTTTTTTTCGATGATAAGATCTGGGTAAGTTACTGTCGGTGCGGAAGGGACAGTTCAACTAAACTTAACCTCTTTCTCCACTTTGCAATAAGTATACTGTTACTGTACCATTAAGGTTTCCATAATGTGGCAACTGTGTTTAGGTCGGAATGTACCTTAAAAGGTACATAGGCATTAGCACACTTTCCCTCCGAATGCTCAGTCAGTGCTCACCGCTTTGGTCGGTCACGGCCATGACGGTTTCGGCCTCGTCTTCGGTCCAGACGGTGAGACGGTACAGCGCCCCTGGTTCCAGGTCCTCAATGTCCACGCTGCTGCTCCTACTCACGCGCAACACCTTGGCCGAGTTGCCACAGGGTACCGAGCAGTCCAGCAGCGAGACGCACTGCAAATTGAACACAATACTCGTCAATTAATTGCAGTTATCAACACACAGTGGGCCAGAAGACCGGCGGAGGCGGCCAAAACTCGAGACGCGTTTTGAGCTCCAGAGTCTCTAAACAGGACTCTAACAGAACATGTGACCCCACCAGTGGGTTCCTCGTTCGGAGAGCAATCGACTGACAGGGACAGACGTTCCGTTCGAGTCCTGGTTAACGACTCTGGAGCTCAAATCGTGTCTGGAGTTTCGGTCACCTCCACTGGTCTTCTAGCCCACCTTGCTCAAGTGAGTTTCAGAAGGTTAGTTTAGAATTCAGAATTCGTACCAAGTACCCCACCGTGACGTCAAGCACATTGACCCAAGATAATCGGAGGTTGGTTGGACTCAAACTCTCAGCGGTCACACTTGTGAGAAGACCTGCAACATGTGTACGAGCATATGGACATAACCGAGAATAGTTCCTCATTGCTGACAAAATTACAGACTCCGGAAGACTACTGCACGGTTACGCGACTCTGTTGGTTTTTATTACTTCAATGGATAAAAAAAAGTCAGTAATCTTAAGATTGAGCAGGGTTAATGAGCAAGTGATGATCACCTGAGCACCTCAAATTAAAATTAAAAGGAGGAAACTCACAAAAAAAAATGAAATTTGTCTCATTTTCCGTTAACTAAGTTAACTGTTTTTGCCTACGACGCATGCAATCTTGTTCAGGCACGCTGCTGTAAAGTGCCCCTGGGCACACACTTCTAACAGTTTGCATCATGAGCGTTTGTAGAATTTTTTTTCTTCAGTAAGTAACATTTTTTGTCAGGAAAATTGATACTCACGCGTGCCGGGCGTGCGCACACGAGTCTGTGCCACGCTCTGCAGTGCGTTTTGGGCTCCGTCGATCAAAACCGCTCGTACATCCACCTCGGTGTCGGCCGGCAAGCCATCCACTCTGAAGGTGAGGTTCTCGGCCTTCTCATCCAAAACCAGCGTTGAAGCCGAGAACCACTCGTTTCCGGGCAGGGCTGCCTGTGCGGACAATGCGTCAAGTTTTGATTACGCATAACGCATCACTCCAAAGAAGGCTTTTTTTAAAACGGTTTCTGTCTATCAAGAGGTAACAAACCAAAGAGCCCTTCGCGCAAATTCTTCAAACCAATCCAGGTTCCAAAATGTTACGCAGAACGATTCTTGAGCGCACACTAAATGTCTTATGTAGTTTATTGTCCATAGCTATGGCCGTTTTTGTACATACAGAACTTATGTACAAATTTGTACATAAATTAGGAACAATATTTCCATATTGTGCTTAAGTATGTAAAACATTGTACCTAATTTATGTACAAATTTGTACATAACTTCAGTATGCACAAATACGGCCATAGTTATGGACATAAAGGGACATAAAGTCCATAAGCATTTAGTGTGCGAGGGGGCAACCACTCTGAAAATCTTGTGTCCCCTTAGCGCTAGAAATCTCTTGGAAATCTGAAATCTTGCCCCTCGAAAGGCCAAAAATAGGCTAATTTTGGGCGGAATAACGGTTAAAATCTTGCAAAATCCGACGAAATCTTTAGCCTAAAGAAATCTTATGTCCCCAACCATCCAAGGTGGTTGCCCCCTCGTTCTTGAGCCACAGGGCACTCTTAGTTCAGGAACTGCTTATGTTGTCCGATAATTTAAACCATGAGGTCATGCCAACTGTCTTCTCACCCGATGTTGAATGTTGATGTACTGCACGTCTCCGCTACCCGCAGTGTTGCCAGCAAGTTTCACTGTCCCAATGAGAGAACGATTTGCCCCTACAATGACGTCGGGTGCCTCTATCAAATGCGTCAGTTCTAAAATTGCGAGAAAAAGTGTCAGTTGGCCATATTGGTACAGAAAGTCCGTAGGTTCAACGCCTTAACGACTTGAAACTCTTTTAGGGGTAGGTTGGGGAAGAAAAGTACAAAACGCGTACTTTGCACTGTACAGAAGTTTCAAATGAGGATTCAACTATTCTGCTCTCGTGAACTTGTAATCCAATGCCTTCCTAATGAAATGGATCACTGTTCATTGATTATAGTTCCCTACATTACGTACAACATGCCAAAATGTATGTGATTTCGGAACTCCTCGAAAAGGGTAAGAAAAGTACACCATCGGGAAAGAAAAGTACAACGAAAAGAATTGCGATTTCGAACCAGGAGACCGCCAATCATGGCTCAATACACGTTTACCCATAAAGTGGAGAGCTTTCACTTGCCATTAGTTCAAGTTTCGTCAAAATCGGTCAATTGGTTCTGATTCTACATGGACTCATCACAGACGGTCCAAAAAGCCTTTTCTCAGAGATAAGTGGGTACAGCATTTTTGTGCTTTTCTTCCCCTTTTCACGTAAATGCCCAATAACTTGTTTATTTCTAGTCTAATTCTATAACTTGTGTTGACATTTTTTGCTTGTCTCGCCTAATCAAATCTATTTCCGTGATCAATTCAATTTTCATCCCGCTTTTAGTTTCTTAGAGGGTGTTTTTTTCTTCCCCAATGCCTGTACTTTTCTTCCCCAGCCGACTGTACTTTTCTTCCCCATTTCATTTTTACACTTATCAAAAAATGTGTTGAAGCCTAAGAGCATCGAACGGTACTGTTTTTCAAAGATGATGGTCTAAGCTATAAGGTGGTACCTTACATTGGACTGTCGGCTGATTCCGCAGGAAGCTGTACTTCAAAGTACAAACATTTAAAAAAAAAGATTTTCATAGTTATTTTTAATGTGTTTTTCAAATGTGCAGTTTGATTCTAAATATTATATGTAGAACTGGGCTAACTTTATTTTTTGTCAGTGGGATGACCAATCTTTCTAAAACCACTAACGTGGATGGTTCAGTGTAGTTTCAGTTCGGAGATATAACGGGTGTACTTTTCTTACCCGAGCCTCCAGATGTACTTTTCTTACCCAACCTACCCCTAATTCCGTTAAAGTTTGGAGCTTCTTAATAATGTGCTGCACTAGGTGATAGGAGCTTTGCGAACAACACTCTCAATTTCCTGATGAAAAATGCTGAGCTCGGATACTTCTCAGTACATTACAAGGTAGGTTTACGCCAGACCGCGTCTTGTCGTAACAGGCTTCGCGATGTCTCGCTGCCTGTTCCTCCAATCCGCGCCTGGCGTACCTACCTTGGCCTGCGGCGCTAGGCTGCCTTCGGCAGACAATGCTTGTCCATCATCAGTTACTTCTAAACTGTTGCATACTGGGGGGCTCCGCCCCCCAGACCCCCCTTCATTCTAGGTAGAGGTGCTTCATCTACAAATTACACGATCTTGACCCTCGTAACTTTTCAACTTGTCGAGGCTGGGGGGCTCCGCCCCCCACACCCCCCTTTCAACCGGACAGGAGAAGTCTACCTACAGAAAACCGATTTTTCGCCGTTTTTTAGGTGTTTTTCGGCTATAAAAACTGAACCAGTTGAGCTAGGATGGTGAAATTTCGCGTGTGCCGAGCCAAGAACATACCTAATAACCCTGCAAAATCTCAGCCAGATCGGCCGAGCCGTTCAGGAGGAGTAGTGTACACACACACACACACACACAGACACACACACAGACAGACAGACAAAACTTTTCAACCGCACTGGAGTAACAGGCTTCGCTATCGCTCAGCCAACAATTCAAATTTAACATAATGCCGAGATAATAATAAGAAAGTGGTCACAAGTTACTGAGAATTCTTCACCATTGTTCACTACCTTTCGCTGCGCTCTCATAATTCTTAGGTTTTTGGTTCGAATTACAAAGAAAAAGCTCAATAGGATCTTGGGGCTGAATAAGGTCAAAATTGCGAACTGTATTTTTCATCATGCTAGCCAGCAGTTCACAAAACTCACAAAGAAGTGCAAAGAATTAGTCAGTAACATGATCTGATTCTTCGCAAAATGAACTCTTTCAGTTACATGCTTCACAACTTTTCAAATGTGTTTGTTCGCCAAAATTCAAGTGTGCATTTTCTAATTGTGCCATCCCGATGAAGATTCGCAGACATTTTTCGTACAGTTATTCACTGCTTGTCATAATTAAGAACTTATCCATCCATACGGATGATACTGTATACTTATCCTTCTGCTTTACATGTTGATAGCAACTTACCCTGATGACATGTTGGACCATTATACCCACTTTGACAGCCGCTGTAGCAGTGTCCCGTGTAAGGGTCGCAGTCACCAGAGCCACCGCACTGTCCACACTCGACATTGCAACCAGCGCCGTAGCGACGCGGTGCGCACACTGCAAAGTTACAATGCCGACTGAAACACGAACTAACAGACTGACGTGGAAAGAATGAGATAAAAATGTACCGTATGAACTTGGTTCTTGTATGAATGTCGGTGAATATTATTGTCTCCCGCTTTACAGCCCACAGTTTTAGTGGCATGGACTTGTGTGAGAGCTGAACACATTAAAACTGGCTCAAGTTTGCGTTCAAACTCTCATAGAAGTAGTTTAATTTTCACAGATTTATAATATTTCGTAGATTTTTGCTAATTACAAAAATTACAAGTAGTAAGCTCTCCATGACACTACACGATCAAAAGTGTATGCTCACTACGCCGCTGTGGGAGTGTGTCTAGACAAGCGCCTCAATAGGAGTGAGTGTGCTTTCTCAAGCACACATTTCACTCTGAGAAAAAATAACAGTAAATCCTGGATAATTTTTTTGCCAAACTTTACCGTACTTCAAAAACCAGTATCCTCCGTACAGTCTACAGTATTTACCGTACTTGTTTTACAAAATATTCCGTAGTCTTTTAACAGTAGTTACCGTTCTTCCGTACAGTCCATGCCGTAGGAAAGACCAGATCTGGTCCCAACAAAGGCCGCTTCCAAGAAGTGTCCACATCAGGATCTTAAAAAAAGAGGGTCGACCGACTGAAAAATTTTATTGCACCTTTCAATAGGTCTCGTCAAGACCTTTCCAACTAGTGGTCGGAAGAGGGGTCCAGGAGTCCGACTTCAGCAGTTGCGTACATCAGGAACTTGGAAAAAGAGGGTCAATCGACTGAACAAAATTATAGCAGTTTTTGATAGGTATTAAAAGTACGGGATTGCCGGGGGAAAATGTACGGGATTCCCTGTAAAAAAGTACGGCGTTTCCTGTAAAAAAAGTACGGTATTGCCTGTAAAAAAAAACGACGGCATTGCCTGTTAAAAAAAGTACGGTGAAGTCTGGAGTAATCAGTACAGGATTTACCGTGATCTTTTCTCGCAGTGTTATCTCATTCGAAAGCTCAAAACTACAGATGTGTGCTTCTAAGTACACTCCCACAGGTGTGCTTATAAGCATGTATTTGATCTTGTGGTGATCATCTCCACATAGTATATCTACTTTTCGAAAATGCATCTTAATGATGTGCTGAAGACAATTTGTTTTGAGTTTAATTCGTGGAAAATTCAGTGTTGTCCACGGATCCTCACCTTGATCGCAATGCTGCCCTCGCAGCCCTGCCGCGCACGAACACACGCCGCCATTGCAGAACATGACGCGACTGCAGTCATGACTCGATCCCTTCAAGTCGGAACAGCGCTGAGTGCAAGCCTCCCCGTAGAGGCCAGGCCCACACGCTGGAAAACGGATGGCATTCCCTCAGCGCGCACAGCGCTAGTTTCACTCTCAGTCTCATGTGGAATTTTTATTCTCTTGCCTATAAAGTTTTTCTGTTTTTAGCACACGTAAAATTGTACTTATTTTCTCTTTAACTATGCATACACTGTTAAAAAGAACTCGAAATTTTCAGACATTTTGATCGTTTTTGAGATAAAATAGTCAATAGATCATGTAGAAATCAAAAGATACATTGCAATTGACAGAAAGTATGGTTTAAGGGACTTAATACCCTATAAAATGTGTTGAGTAGTCATAGTCATGTTGGCAGCCATGTAACCAGAGCCTTCTTTGTACCAACCGAACACAGAATAAAGCAGTTCACGTTTGCGTCTTGACTCGCTCACTTCCTTGAGAATCCCATCTTGACAACAAAATGAACAAAAAGTGCAAAGCTTAAGAGGAAATAGTCCATGTTACGCTTGCACAAAAAACATTTTGGCATGAGATAAAAATTAAATATGAGTCTGATAGTATACTGCATCCGGAACTTAGTTAGTTTCTAAGTGGACCGTTTTAGCGTCTGCTTCGTATTTAGGGCTCGTCCACTTCTTTCGTAACGATTTTCCATAGCGCTGTCTTTGTTGCTTCTAATAGACCACCATTGAGCGCCAGAGAAACAGAAGTACGTAATATCTGAACGAACCCATGCTCATTTTCATTGCTTAAGCTAAAACCGGCGTTTCAGCCAAAATGTTACCGCGTCTTTTAACACATTGAAAATCAAATAGTGATACATCTCACTCTCTGAGGAGTGAGACATAACAGTCTCACTGAAAAAAGCCCTTATAAAAATTATTTGCTCCGAGATCTGTCCGAGCGGGGTTCCAGCCCGAAAGAGGTCCGTCGGGCTAGTCCGACGAAGCTCCAGAATGTTCCCAAATCGGCAACTTTACGGATGTGTCCGAGAACCGAAATGCGGGCTGGTTTCGGACTGTCCGAGTCTCGGTTCCGAAAAAAATCCGACGGCGCTGAGCCAGAGGCAAGCCGTATTCGAACCCTCACTTCTTACCTTCCTTTGCACACCAGTGCTGACGTCGGAGCCAACTGAGCTAACCCGACAGATGAGGACTGGGGGCTCCGGTGAGCGTCTTCACTGACTCTGCACTGCGCTCTCCGCTCCGCTTCTTCCTCTGGGCGCTAGGAGGCGCGATTTTCAAGATAGAAGAGTGGGGATTTCTCAAGGGGACCTCGAATTTAAAATATTTTACGTCCTACACGTTTTCTTATGCATACCTGTATTTAAAGTTTCATGTTTCTCCGGTTGTACGAAGCACTTTAAATTAATTGACTGAATGCATTCTTGCAATTTAAACCACGTTTTGTGGTATTTGTTTCGGCACATACTCAGTAACGACAAACAATTGCTGTATTTCAAATAAATTTTTTATTCTAAATTTCCTTACGAAAGGCGAATGTTTGAGATTGAACATTGCGGAATCACTTGGACACACCTCAACTGTAGCTTTGCTAGAGGAATATTTGTCTAAGTCCTAAAGCGAGGGGGAAACGGTACAGAGTTCCGAAAACAGTCCGGAGGGGAGACTTTCCTCGGACGTATTCCGGGTAAGTTCGCTGTCCCGGACTCCCGGCGGACCGACCCGGACTTTCCAGCGAGTCCCGGACACATATCGGTCTGGCCCGTCCGAACAGCGGCCCCTTCGCGGACTAACCACGGAATCGTCCGAAGGCATTCGGACGCTTCTGGGGACAGCCCGAGGTGGCGGGGGCTCTTTCGGACGGCTGGCGGCAGGATTTCGGAACAATTCGTTTTTACACGGGGGGTGATACTAAAATGTATCATCGAAAAAAAAATGGTCGTACACGCATGTACCACCGAAAAAAAGGTCGTACACGAATGTATCACCGGAAAAAAGGTCGTACACAAATGTATTCGAAAAAAGGGTGATACTTCCCCAGGAAAACTAGGGCCAATCTCGCTGATGTCTCACCTTTATTTCGGTGATACATTTGTGTACGACCTTTTTTTCGGTGATACATTCTGTATTGCCGAATATTGGTGAGATGTCTCACCCTTTGAATTACAGTGGTATGTGCCGTCAAAAACCTACCGATTTCACAAGACTGGCCGCTGAACCCTGGTCTACAGATGCATACTCCGTTGACAGGCAAACCTCCATTCACGCATGTGGGTGTTGCTGAATACAAGAAAAATAAAAACTACGGCCTGCATATTAAATTGTGAAGTATGACGACGTAAATGGTTAATGCACGAAAGACTTCAAACATGTTTCGGCTCTCTTTTCGAAACAAGATCAAACTCCAAACACGTAAGGGAGAGTGGGGTAATTCCGGACACGGGGTAATTCCGGACACTTCGATTTTCACTGGGTTTGAGTGAAGATAACTCAAAAGCCCGCCTAACAGAGGAAGATAATCAGTTAAAAATGATAATTCCAAATCGCTAAGGTCGGAGGTCAAACCGTTTGGCTGTGGTCGCTTCACGAAATTTGAGTACCATCAAAAATAGGCAAAAGCTGCATCTTTCCCTCGTATTTCGATGTACTTATCGTACCTTACCGTCAAGTTCAGTCCCATGACTAAAATTTTATCATATTATATGGTCATTGGGCTTTACTTTGGCGTTTCGGGAGTGCTCGTATGGCTCGCCATTTTCTTCCAATTGAACATCAAAGGTTTTCACTACCTGTGGGGTAAATCCGGACAAGAAGGGTTATTTTCTTCAATTTCCCGTATAATGTTTAGGTAGTGGGTTCAAAATTGTGGACATGCATCTCCACCGTTAAGAAGGATAAAGAAAGAACGAAAAATAGCATTGCAGCTATGTTCAAGACAGTGTTGTCAATTTAGGGGTTTGATAGAAACTATTCCTTATAATATGCTTTGAGTAATAATAAAACACTTCAATTCGCAGCAAATGTCCTTGTACGCCTTCTAAAAGCATGCCTCACACCAAAACAAGCGAAAGTAAGCTCGAGTAGTGTCAAATTTTAAGGTCGTCCGGAATTGCCCCACAGGTCGTCCGGAATTACCCCAGGCTGGGGCAATTCCGGACACGTGCAGGGCTTGGCGCCTATATCTCCCTAACCGTTGCTGAGATTTGGCTTTCATGTATATCATTTTGAAGGTAAAGGTCCATACTTTAATCTCCTGTAAGACCTCTCCTTGACCCAAGAAGCATATTCAAGCTCAAAGACCAAAAAGAAAAAAAGCGTCCGGAATTACCCCACTCTCCCTTATGTCCACCTAGTGCACCCTTGTTTTGGTCGTACTCGTCTAATCCAGCAGAAACGCTGTCTGGTTTTCCCAGGAACTGCCTGGAAATGGCCTTTGCTTTTCTTGTGGGCTACCCGGGAAAACCAGGGACCGTTTTTGCCGCGAAGAAGGCGTTGGTATTTGTTTGCAATAAGGGGTATTGAAATGCACGTTTTTTTTTAATTCCATACCGGCACACCCGGAAAAGGGTTCATTCCTACCTAAAACCACCGCAAACCAAATTTGAGACCGATCGAAAAATATTTAGGGGTCGCTACAATGGCTGAATGTTGTAAATTTGGCGTAATTTGAAACAAAATACAACTTCGGAGTATTTGAAGCCCTGCGCATCCGGTGTTGGTCCTAGCTTGTTGCCCCCGGAGCCTTTTTTTTTCTCGGGATCCAGGCCGACCGAAAGAACCCTACGGGATGCGTTTTTAGCGAATGGTAACGGAACTGGGTCCATTCTACGCTCAAAAAAGTGTTTTTTTCTCCGCTTTTAGTGTTTTAGAGGCCTGCCAAACTTTTGCCTTGCGTCACAAAAAATCTAAACCCATGTATTTTGATAGAAAATAAGTTGCTCTTTCAAATGGCGGTCACGGAAACAGTCTACGATTTTTGGTTTAGGCTCCAGAGCCGTTTTAAGTTGAAAAATGGATTTTATTTTAGTGAAAATGAGAGCAAATGTTTACCCTTAGTCACGTGCGACGTATGGTTTGGCTACTAGCGCTACCCGGCGAAGTGCAGGCGGTGCGCTGTGATGGGAGAAGCTGTCCGGGTAGAAATGGACAGCTTTTATACAGCTGCTAAATATTTTGTGACCGAAGTAACGCGCAGGCGTTTGAAAAATACCTGGATTATGTTTGGACTGTGTCAGCAAGATGTCGACAAAATATTCGGATATTTTGTGGACGTTTTGCCAGTCTCTGGCCAGCCGACGTCGTTTTAAACGACTTTAAAAAGATGCCCAGAAGGCAAAGACAAAATATCGGCAAAGACAAAATATCGGCAAAGAGCTGCCGCATCGCTGGCCGCAGCAGCAAAAGAGAGACCACTGGCGTCGATCCACAAACCTGCCGCTTGCGAGACAAGAGCGGATCTGCTGGGCGCTGGGCCAGAGCGTCATCGCTGAAAAACAATTGCAGCTGAGCGGTCCGTCTACGTATCCACGACCGTGTGGACTCAGCCGGTCCCTGCCCCATGTCAAGCCTATGATGTCACGATCCAGCGAACTCTGTTGATCACGCGCGGCAATAACAGCTAGTCCATAGCGTGGAGCTGCTGCGACCTGCTGTGAACGAATGGGAGCAAAGAGGCTGACACAGTCTAATCATAATCCAGGTATTTTTCGAACGCCAGCGCGTTACTTTGGTCACAAAATATTAAGCAGCCGTATAAAAGCCGTCCATTTCTACCCGGGAAACTTCTCCCACCACAGCGCACCGCCTGCACTTCGCTGGGTAGCACTTGTGGCCAAACCATACGTCGCACGTGACTAAGGGTGAACATTTGCTCTCATTTTCACAAAAATAAAATCCATTTTGTAACTTAAAACGGCTCTGGAGCCTAAACCAAAAATCGTAGACTGTTTCCGTGACCGCCATTTGAAAGAGCAACCTTTTTTCTATCAAAATACATGGGTTTAGATTTTTTGTGACACAAGGCAAAACTTTGGCAGGCCTCTGAAACACTAAAAGCGGAGAAAAAAACGCTTTTTTCAGCGTAGAATGGACCCAGTTCCGTTACTATTCGCTAAAAACGCATCCCGTAGGATTCTTTCCGTCGGCCTGGATCCCGAGAAAAAAAAGTCCCCGGGGGCAACAAGCTAGGACCAACACCGGTTGCGCAGGGCTTCAAATACTCCGAAGTTGTTTTTTGTTTCAAATTACGTCAAATTTACAACTTTCAGCCATTGTAGCGACCCCTAAATATTTTTCGATCGGTCTCAAATTTGGTTTGCGGTGGTTTTAGGTAGGAATGAACCCTTTTCCGGGTGTGCCGGTATGGAATTCAAAAAATCGTGCATTTCAATACCCCTTAGTTTGCAAGAACGCCAAAGTTTTGGTTGTCAGACAGGTTTGCTACCATTTTTTTTTTTTACCATCAGCCGCGTTGACGTCGATGACCGTGGGCTGCCATGCGTTTTCTGAAACAAGACAAAAGCGTCACAGGTGTAAATGGGATCAGGATTTTCTGATCATTTACCCATTTTTCTGATAAAATTTGGGATTTTCTGATCATTGGCGTACTATCAGAAAAATTGGCATCAGAATTGCAAGAATTTCTGATAACTGTGAAATGATCAGAGAAAAAGTCTGATCGCTAATTATTGATCAGGGAAAATTTCTGATCCGAAAAGTGATCAGACAGTGATCAGAATAGAGTCATCAGAAAACATAGACATTCTGATAACATGCAAAACTATCAGAAAATCGTGATGTCTCAAAAATCTAGATGCCTGTAAAACATAAAGTTTTCGTAATTTTGGTTTCAAATTTGGTGAGCGGTATGTTCGCGACATTTGGCTAGGGCATTTTCAAGGTCATGAAATTTAGACCATATCTTCTGGCATTTTGAGAGCTGATGGCGAGCTAGCGTGAAACGGATTGCAGAATTGGATCGGACTCAGTTTCGACCCCCTAGAGCCGTTTGCCTCATCTCCGTACCTTTCATGACCGTGAAAATATCCTGAGTCAGATATCGTTACATTTCTGATAATACAATTTCTGATTCTACTCCAGTGGTGATCAGACCCGAGGTGATCAGAGCCACGCTGATCAGAAACGTGATCAGGAATCAGGAAAAAAAACATCAGAAAAGGTGTTCGAAAAAGCATCAGGTTTTTTCCTGATCTTCAATTTTCTGATCCAGAAAGTGATCAGCGCTAGGTGATCAGAAAATCCTGATCCCATTTACACCTGTGGTGCAAGTTTTTACTTTTGTTTATCTTTTTTATTTGGCTAGTAAGACGTTTTTCTGGGTGCATACGCCGATGAATACGAACAACACATCAGTGCCAGTGGTGCGTGCACTCAGAAAAGTCTAGGATGTAGTTGCTTCCTAACTACGAAGCTGAAATGCAGGCATTGTAGAATTGCTTCATATTACGGACGATTTTGCTTCATAGTACGAAGAACTTTACAATGCCTTCGTTTTCTTCGTTTAATGTAGGCGACGGGGTTCAAAAAAGCTTCCCAAAAAAGGAAAAAAAATATTTTTTTAATTTTGCGATTGAAATTTGAACACTATACTCGCAACTACAGCTACCATTATAATTGTCGCATACACTTGCGACCCTACTTTTAATTAGGGTCGAAACTGCAACCGAAACTGCAGTGTTCGAAAATACTACCAGAATATCTGTATTCAAACTGCAGTCAAACTGTAGTTTCACTAAAAAAAAACTACACTCTAAGTGTAGTTTACTGTAGTTTAACTGCACTGAAACTGCATTGATCCATCTGCAGTCTGACTACCATTGTTTTGCAAACAGTTTAAACTTAGAAAGAATAGATTTACTTCACTTTATCTCGAGACGTTCAATAGTTGTCCTGCAGTCTTAAACTGAGTTAAGTTGCACTTTACAAGTACAGAAAAAATTACAGATTTTTCCACCCGGGTTCGTTGACTTTTCGCTGTGCGAGTCGTTTCACTTACGCTTCGTTACGGAATGAAAGGGAGTTCCAGGAGGCGGCTTGGGCCCTGGAGGATCGAGCAGACGAGCGCGGAACGCTGGCATGAGTTCTGAAACGTCACGAAAAAATTAAGAACGGAACACGAATCATTCGTGTTTGCCACCACATCAAGAAAATGCATGAAATTGACACGTCCATATAATTTTTCTCAGAGTCTGACCCAAGGGGAAATATCTTTGGAAGTCAGAGTACACGTTTCAGATTTCCACGGACGAATTTTGATTTGAATTACAAAGTTACTTCAAGGTTTTCTTTGAATTTCGACTTTTTATCGGGAAGTACCGCTGACGCGAGTGGAGGATAGACGTACCTTCTTGTTTCGTTAGTATCATCTTCTCAATATGCACCTCTGGATAAGGTGGACCCTACAATGACAATCTCATGAGAAGTCAACACTTTCGAGCGTGAGGACAATCGTCGCAAATCCGGTGGCAAGTTTGCTTGTCACAAAACAGGCAAGCCATTTCGGATGCCAGAAAATCGCAGGCCTTGCCCTGAAGTTTTCGTCAGCTTGCCAATGTTCGGCGCTTTGGCCGCCGATGCCACATTTAGGCAAGCTGGGATGTGGGAAGTATTTCGGGGCCAGCTGGCTGCTTCACCGAAAACTTAACTGTATGCTAAGTGCAGACATGGCCTTAAGTGCGTGCAGGCGATTTCCAGTGAGTTCCTGGGAAAACCAGGAACAGCTTTTACCGTGGTGGGTGATGCCAATGTTTTGCCAAGCAAACTTGCTACCGGCGTTGTAGTGGCAGTGACACGGCATGAAAGCGTATTACCTGAGGGCCTTGAGTGCCCGGGGGTCCGTCTGCACCCTGAACACCTGGCGGGCCTGGCTGTCCTCTGATACCGGGGGGGCCCTGTGGACCCTGAGCTCCAGCAGGCCCTTTCGGTCCTAAGAGAATGATGTAAAGAAAGTGATGTTAAACAACGGTACCGTGACTTGAGCTGATGAAATCAGAGCGAAGATATCCGCGTTTCTTTGTTTTCGCTGGGCATTGAACTCCACTGACCGGAAGATAACCTATTTTTATCCTTGAGCGCGTGAACCATTCAATTAAGGGCCTGCGCCGAAAAGGGACGTCCCTGGAGTTCTTGGCAGTTAAGAGGTTGACAAACAGGTGACACATTCTTCAACCTGGTTTGCAAACTACGTAGCCCTTTGCTAGTGGAAGGTCTTCGGTGCTTCTTTTAGAGTCAGTTGGTGTAGTTTTGGGATACGTGGTACAAGGTAGGTTTACGCCAGACCGCGTCTTGTCGTAACAGGCTTCGCGATGTCTCGCTGCCTGCTCCTCCAATCCACGCCTGGCGTACCTACCTTGGCCTGCGGCGCTAGCCTGCCTGCGGCAGGCAATGGCTTGTCCGTTGTCGGTTATTTTTTAACTTGTTGAATGCTGGGGGGCTCCGCCCCCCAGACCCCCCTGCATTCTAAATAGAGTTGTTTTATCTACAAATAACACGATCTTGACCCTTGTCACTTTTCAACTTGTCGTAGCTGGGGGGCTCCGCCCCCCAGACCCCCCTCTCTCCAAGACAGAAGTGGTCTATCTGCAGAAATCTCTATTTTTCGCCGTTTTTTAGGTGTTTTTCGCCTATAAAAACTGAACCAGTTGAGCTAGGATGGTGAAATTTCGCGTGTGCCGAGCCAAGGACATACCCAAGAAGTGTGCAAAATCTCACCGAGATCGGCCGAGCCGTTCAGGAGGAGTAGTGCGGACACACAGACAGACAGACAAAACTTTTCAATCCCACTGGAGTAACAGGCTTCGCTATCGCTCAGCCAAAAAATAAAACAGCGTTTTCGTCAATAAGATTTGACAATTTAGAACCGCGCTAAACCTTACCATATGTTGTTCACATGCGGAAAAAATGTAAATTCTTGACCAAGAAAAAGCTGCACCATATTTAACCGGTTTCCTCCCAACTGACCTGAACTGAAATGCAAACAATTTACATTAAGTTCTGTACTTACCTGGTGGACCGGGAGGGCCAGGGGCTCCACCTGGCGCAAAACAAGGGGAGATCTGTTAATCTTTGCATCCCTTGGCAATATATCAATGCTGCCCCCGTTTTACTTCAGCTTTAGAACAACTTTGCGCCCATTGAGGTTCAGGCCAGCAGCGAAGATTTTTTAGATGCATGAGAGCAAGCGATATCTACAAAAAATACCTTAATTGTGAACTTGTTTTGTGATGTTCATTGGATAGTGAAAACTCTGACTGAGTCTCCACTTTAAGCTCTATCTCATATTTCTCTACAGCACATCATTGATTTCTCACACGAAGTTGCTGCTAGCCTCATCCCACGTACTAGAATAATGAAGATTCGTACGAACTTGTCGCGATGGCAAATGTATCGTCGGTAGAAAATGCGAAAGAGGCAATGGCGTCGTTGAAATAATCTGGCATCCTGATCATCTTTTCGTAGCCATCAGTTTTCAACCCCATTATCAAGTCTCCACCCGTGCAATCGTCCTAAAATAACAAAAATAAGCACTCCAATAATCAAAATTAGTCAAAGCTGGGGAACGAAACGGTGCTTTAAACCAGAGTATATAAGTTATAGTATAACTGATAAGTTGAGACAAGAGAGTATGTTGGCGACCAGTTCCTCTTATTTGACCAGAAGCTGGCGACGGCAGCTAACAACTTCCACTTTAATATTTGTTCCGTGCTGCCACCTACTAACGCGCAAAAACTCAAATTTAAGTGTGAAGGTCGTCAAGTTCGTACACAGCTAGGAATTTTAGAAAAGCGGATAATTCTAAGAAAGTGTCCTAAGCCTCTGCTGGAACTCGAAATGAGTCCCGTTCACATCGATTTTCTGATAGCGTCTTTAACCCTCTCTCTGTTTCAATGTTGCAAATTTTACTGAAGTTGTGAGGGGAACCCGGCTTAAAGCACAATTTCGTTCATACGGTTGCAGTAATTTCGTGAAGTCTCACCGATTTGAAGGCATGCACTATATGTCCTAATGTGTTAACTGAACTGATCTTTCCCCTCCAGTTGTCAGGCACAGTTTTGCATTGATGCCTCTGCCAGCACAAATCTCCCCCGTTCCCAGAAAACGCAACGTGTTCATACAGGAGAATGCATTCGGTGTGTGCTAGCGTCCACAAGCTGGTCAAGAGGGCTAACAAACAGCTGCATCTGTAAATAAATAAAATAATTGAACATCAATCATCAGATTTTGTTTTGTTTATTTCAAAACCAGGGCGCTTTGGAGAAGAGCTGGGACGAAGGTTGATAAGAAATCTAGAAAAACAAAAGCGAGACGAAGTATGAGAATGCAGCTCTGCGGAAGGCGCAAAACGACCTCATAAATTTCGCATACTTCGGTCTTCTTGATTTATTCTCAATTTCCGTTTCAATGTTTTGATCACATTTTTACAGTTATCCATTTTGATTAAAAACAAAACTTTTTTCTAAAAAAAACCGCGCTTGACACGTTCTTCGAGAGACAATCAGAGAACATGTTGCTTTTACCTTAAGAACTGTACCGAACCCATCGTAACAACGGCCAGTGAATCGCAGCTAGGGCCCTTCTGCGGTGAGATATTTCATATGCGTATAAACGATCCTGTAAAACAAACAGTCTATATATGTGAAAACCTTTGAAGCAGGAGGCAATACCAGGTCACAATCATAGCCTTTCCTTACTTGATGAAAGACAGAGCAAAGCTCATACTTCATCAGGCCCAAGCGGCTCGAGGAAGTTCAATGTTAATCCAAACAAGACATTGTCTTTGTTTACCGCGCTTCTTCCGGTGCTTTAGAAAAGGAACACAACGGGCCGAAACGGATTTTTTTTTTATTTCCCACACAAAAAGTCAAGGGACATTTTTTGACCTAGGAGTCATGCAAATTTAAGCACATCCGACAGTGATACAATTTCGATGCCGCCTATTGACACAAATAGTCCAACGCCTACTCCCAAGTGTACTTTCATCTGACAATTTGTCCTGCCTGCCGATCACAAAATTGCATCACCACCGGATGTGCTTCAAGTTGCGTGGTCCATAGGACATAGTAAGTCCAATTACTCTCATCCCAGGAACGTACATCATATGTTGAAACGAATGTGACAAAATGTCAACGTTGTGTTACATTCGCTTGAATGAGGGTAAGCTTATTGCCACATTCGTTTCAATGTGATGTCACGTTCCTTGAATGCAAGTGATGACATTGAGCACTCACCAATCACCAATTGACATCAACCTCCAGGCGACGCGTGTGCGTGCCAAACACACCAACAATCCTCACCACACTGGCCACTGTACAGAGCCTGTTTATCTTCGTGAGCATGGACCTTGCCGTCGCAGGCACGCGGCTTTCTCCAGACTGCGATGCTGCGTATCGTGGCCGCAGACGCAAGCTGCTATCACACTGGCAGCGCTCCCCTCCCGCCGACCGATGCTAGCAGCCAGGGGCCGACTAGGGACGGGCGGAGGCACGGGGGGACTGGCAAAAGTTGCCTGTTTTCAGAGAGCAAAAATACGAGTCTCTTCCCCACCTCCCCGGATAATGACTTCTTCCCTCGCTTCTTCCAAGAGCTTCAAGGATAATATTATTGATGGAAAATTTAACGTTCCGTGCTGTTCACGACGCATCACGGCCCGTTCGTTCCGTTGTATCATTTGCTTTAAACGGAAGCCTACCTGCAAACTTAATGTCATGACACTGAGATTCCAAACGCTATGAGTATAGCACGTATGGTGCAATGCAGCTGAGACATCGCACCATACGTGCAATGCGATAGCCATATTGCACCTTACGTGCAATGCATCCCGAAAAGGCCCTATGCTTATGCATGGGAATGGGGAGGCATTGCACTTCATGTGCAATGCTTTTCCATTGCACCAATTGACGCTATACTCATAGCGTTTGGATTCTCAGTGGGGAATTTTGTGTCCCATAAATGAAGCAATGTCAAGCAAAACCGTTGGTTATCCAATCTGCAGATTAGTTTCCATCAGATTGTCCAATGACTTAGCAAATCGAACGAAATCTGACAAGTTATACCACTTGGTCGACAAAGAGTTGTCCCCGACGGACGAGCTTCAAGTTGCATCATACGTGAGGCAAAAAGAAAGTCCCGAACACTTACACGGGCGCATTCCAGAGCCGATTGACAGTGGTCGAAATTTGACGATTTTTTACCTACCCATAGGTCAACTACCCCACAAAATTGCAGCCCTCTAGGTCAACTTAAATGGGAACTGTGAGCTATCAAAGTTTTTGGCTATTTTGCTTTAGTCGTTTTTGACCAAATTGCACTTTTTTTCCTGAAATGCTCCGGAATTCTTTTCTTTTCGGTCCTGAGGTATGAAAGTTGGTAACCAAACGTAAAATTGAGTGGTGAATCCGTATCTGCACGCAGAACCGACCCCAGACCAGTGCGTCGTTGACAAAAATGCACTCGCAGTAAAAAGAAAAAACTTTGTTTAGTGTTTTACAACCTTCAATTATTTTCTACCTGTCCCGGAATCCAAACTGGACCCGTCTTAGGCGGGAAATCATTCCTCAGACAACTACGTAAAAACAAGCGGATCGAGTTACCGAGGGTATGGGTATGGTTTGCTCGCCGCAGTGCTCGCAACATTGACACCTGCTGAATGTTCAATCCAATGAGATCTCATTGATCAGTGCGTGTGACAGCAATTTGCATAAGGACAATTTTGTTCAAAATATGATTCCTGACACGTTGTTCTCATGAAGTTTTGCTCTATCTCTTACGGTGTGTAAAATATGAGATTTAAGTGGTTTTGGACCGAAAAATATGTCTCTGGAGTACTATCTAGTTTTGATCAGTTTTGAAACGCTTTTTTAACATAGTCCCTCAAGACATTATTTTGTGGACTGATAGTCTCAAAGTGCAAAGTCCGCGAGCATCAGTCCCCGAGAAAATGCCTTTTTTTCACGCCCGTGTGTCACGCCACGACTTCAGTTTCGACGATATCAATAATATGAGTGCTAGGTATGATTTCGGCTAAGAACACGAGATCTGTGTCCGAAGTAATCAAACACACTACATGTGGATGGAGCTATCCTTCTGTCTCTCCCTTTCTCTCTCCTTCTCTCTCTCTCTCTCTCCCTCTCTCTCTCTCTGAGTCTGTCGCTCTTCTCTTCCTCTCTCTCTCTCTCTCTTTGCTCAGTGTCTTTGTCGCTCTCTCTCTCTCGTGTCTGTCGCTCTCTCTCTCTCTCGTGTCTGTCGCTCTCTCTCTCTCTCTGCTCTCTCTCTCTCTCTCTCTCTCTCTGTCGCTCAGTGTCTTTGTCGCTCTCTCTTTCCCTCTCCCTCCCCCCTTTCTCTCTGTCTCCTGTCTGTCTCTCTCTCCCTCTCTCGCTCTCTCTCCTTCTCTGTCTCTCCCTACCCTCGGTACTCCTCCCAGGCGAGTCGCGCTGCGTTGTTGTTGCTTCAGTGTCCGTAGCCACGCCAGTCCACCCCGCGCCGCGGCCATGGCAGCACCCGTCGATGCCCGCGCCGACTGGGACCTGCCCGCCGTGCCGGGCGCTGACTTCGCTCCACGCTGGGACCTGGAGCTGACGGGCTCCAGGGCGGCACTCCTCCAGGAGTTTGCGGAGTGGGTGCGATCCGAGGGCCTGCCCGAGACTCCGGGTTCGTTTCGTAAAACGGAGAAAACGAAGGCATTATAAATTCGACGAAGAATTTCTTCGTTTTGCGGAGCATAGTCCTTCGTAATATGAAGCATTTCTTCAGTAAGAAGCAGTTCTACAATGCCTTCAGTTTCTTCGTAGTTATGAAGCAAAAGCTTTGTAGGCTTTTTTTGGTGTTGCCGAGACAAACCAGCTATGCGCTCGCGTAATTAGTAGACCACTTCGTCCGTAATAGCATGCTTAATAGTATGAGTCATAGTGACGTACTACCCGAAATTCTCCGTATTTGACCGATTTTCGGGTTGTTTTGAGCTGTTTGGAGCCAAATCCCTACAATTTTGTGGTGTACACTCTCATTCCAGGAACGTGACGTCACGTTGAAACGAACGTGACAAAGTGTCACGTTCGTTTGAGCATTGTGTTACGTTCGTTTGAATGTGAACGAGCTGGTTTTCGGCCAATTCACACCAAACGATGACACAATGCTCAACCGAACGTGACAGTTTGCCACGTTCGTTTCAACGTGATGTCACGTTCCTGGAATGAGAGTGTAATAGAGCGTAGTAGCGTAACAGTCGGGTCACAGGTGTTAAGAAGTGCATTGCTCATTTTCGTGTAAATGGTGTGCACAAAAAAGCTACTGTCACTTAGGCCTACTGTGTGGATCAGTGTTGCCAGAGAATTAGGTAAAACAAAAACTCTAAAAATGCACCGATGTGAGGCGGGCTTCGTGCCTGCGATGCAGCTTCTCGACTGCAGTGAGTGACGTGCCAACTTGGCTACTTAGTGGGCAGGACGACGTACGACCCGCCGCGAACTGGTGTGTTTACAGCAACTTTTTTGCCCTCTTTTAAGGCCAGACCGTTCGAAACGTGGACGTGACATTACGGTGTAGAGACGCCACGACAGCGCAGCTCGACGGCACTTGTTCTTCGTGTCATCGTGACTCAAATAGCCTTGGGAAAAAGTCGCATTTGTTTTGTTTTTTCCGTTTACAATAACCTTTGACCTTGACCATGTTACAGACTTGCAAAGAAAATCCTTGACAATTAATTTTTGGATTCATCCACTTGCTGCCTAAAGAGCTCAACGCAATTTATTTGTACGATCATGCTCTAAATATTTCGGAAGGTTTCGTTTCGAACACCTGGTTGTGACAAGTCGTACACTCCGCGTTCACTATCTCATTGGAGTTGCGCCAAAGACAGTCCATTGTGTTCATGCAAAGTTAATTTCGTTATAGTGAACGCAGCAAAATCAGAATCCAGGATTCCCTGGCCTACACTTCCACTTTCCTGGGATCTGTTATCTCACGTACTGTTTACTCTGTGAAAAGTAGAAACACCTTGCATTGGTGTCGAACCTTTGTCCTGCGACTTGTCGTCCGAATTCGCAGCCCTAACCTAGACTCTACTCTCAGCGTTCCTTATCTCGTTTCTGCCGAAATATTCGTCTAGAGAAGCCGAATGACCCGTTCAGCCTGCATGCAGTCAGCCGTATCTTATCGATGGCCTTGGTGGACGCGCGCGTGGCCTTGTCCGTGGCGCCGCAGTGTGTGTAGGTGTGTGTGCGTGTGTTAGTGCGTGTATGTGCGCACGTGTGCGTGTGTATGAACTCGTCTAGGTGCACTCGTGTGTGTGTGTGCACACAGACACACACACGTGTACGTGACGTCATGTCAAGGCAGCCCACCGGAAATACGTCATAATCTTCGTGACCTCTTCCAAATACGCGCCTGAACCTATCTGTTTCTGTCACAGACCCTGACCTCGTCAAATTCGTCCACAGCTGTGAATATGATCTCGAGAAAGCGAAGAAGTGTGCCAAGGATTTCTACTGGTCCCGAGACGCGGTTCCGGAGTTATTCTCCGGGTGGGACGCAACTTTACCCCATTTCCAAAGCGTTTTTGACACAGTGTATGTATTACGGTTATGTGGTATCTCGAGACATTTGACAATTTCAATGTCGAAACATTAAGCACACGAGAACATACAGTGATCCCATTTCGTTGTGACACGCTAAGTTACAGTGTAGTTTTATGTGCATAAGCTTTTGCTCCAAATTGTGCATGAGTTTAAATGCACGAATTTTTGCGCTGCAGAGCATGAACTCGTCCCAAGCTTAATTCAGTGTAGGCTGTGCACAAAAAACGCAGTAATTTAATGTGTAAGACAAATGGGAAGTGGGTGATTTTGGGACACGGGATAAAACTCACACAGCTTTTTCTTGGTCAAGATTTGACATTTTAGGCCTCATGCCATAGCAAATGTGATGTGATGTGGAAATATCGTAGGAAAAATGTCAAATTTTGACAAGGAAACAGCTGTCCCATTTTTACCCCGAGTCCTTCAATTACCCCAAGTGACCCAACGCACAACGCTGAGAGGAACACAATCCCCTGCCGTGGGAGAAAGATATCGAAAGAACGCGCGTACGTATGTTCTTTTACAATGAATTGTCTGTTTTGCTGTTGTAGAACGTATGCCATCATGCCCAGGCGGACCCCAGACAACTTCCGCGTGATATTCAACTCTCTAAAGACTTCGGACACAACGAATTACGTGATTGTCGACATAACCAAGGTACGTTACAACCGAGGGGCAAAAAACTTGAATTTTGGTGCACTTTTAAAACCTTGCGAACCGATGTGTTTGTAAGCTTGCGAAGAACCTGACTTGTTCGCAATGCAAAGAACGCATCCGTATTGCAAATTAGTAGTTCGCAGCTTGCGAACAACTGCTTCGCAATTTGCGAACAACCTGTTTGTATTGCGAACCCTTGGCAAAAACACTGTTCGCAAAATTGCGGACTATCAGTTCGTAAAAAAATCAAGCCAAACTCTTCCCAAGCTGCAAACCAAATTGTTTGTAATGCGAACACATTCTTCGCAAGGTTTTGAGAGTGTGTCCATTTCATTTGAAATAACGTGAAATAACGGTGAAATAACGTTGAAATAACGCGGAATTAACGTGAAATACCGTTGAAATAAGAATGAAATAACGTAAAATTGAAATAACGGTGTTCGAATTTTGACGAAGTTAATTGCCCCTCGGTTGTAACCGATACAGCAGATATGGGTTCACGCTGTCCTGTGGATTGCGAAAAAAAAACGTGCACTTCTAGACCCTTTTAGATTCATTATCTTTCTTCTGCTGAAAGTGAGCTATATTGAACCTACGCACTGGTAAAACTAAAGCGCAGTATTACCCTCTGTTTTCAGGCATAGTAAGATTACTCTTGAAATCAAGCGCAACAGGCTGATCTGTCAAGATTCCTCCTATCTAAATGCATGGGGAAATCTCTAGTCTGCTTCATTTCAAGCGTAACGTCTTAAAACGTAACTTTGTGCTTGACTCAGGCATAGAGTTACGCTTTAGTCTTACCAGTGCGCCCCCTCCCCCTTTTTTGTTCGAAGAGGTTTCATCTGAATCCAGCGCCATTTACGTCCAAGTGGGTCAGGTGTTAAAGAATTCACAAGCGAAACTTGACTTTCAGGTGACACTCATGGTGGTTGAGTCCATTTTCCTGACGGAGCCTACAGTCAGTGGTATTGTGATAATTCAAGATTTGGAGAAGGCAACTTTCAGCCACTTCGTCAAGTACGTTTGGTCGCTGCCGAGAAAAATCCAAGTCTATTTTGAGGTAAGAAATGCTGCCAATCTACGTTAGAACACGAGTCTTTTAACGAATTTGACGCCACGTTCATAGCAGGTTTATGTAAGAAAAACAGGACCTTACAATGACCCCTTTGGATTTCGCTGATTTTTTGATAGTTAGTAGTCCTCTAAAGTGGGAGCTCATGGGCAAAATTTTATAGCTCCAAATACTCTGGGAGATGTGGGGATGTTAAGTATTTTATTTGTGTATTTGGGTATTTCTTATGGTTCAAGTACTTTTTGTCAGTTTGGGTTCAGATTAAGTTTCTAACTTCAAAATTGTAAGTTACTTGTAAGCACACAGCTATAGGAGTATGCTTGGGTAAGCATACATCTATAGAAGTGTGCTTGACAAGCATACATCTATAGATGTGTACTTGGGCAAGCATGCATCTATAGCTGTGTACTTGCAGAAGCATGCATTCATCACCCATTTAAAAGCACACAGCCATAGATGCATGCTTGCCCAAGTACACAGCCATAGATGCATGCTTGCCCAAGTACACTTCTATAGACGTATGCTTGACAAGCCCACTCCTCTAGATGTATGCTTCCAAGCATACCGTAGAACGGGGTAATATGAGACATGAAGGAAAATCGAGACAAAGCGCACTTTTTTCGGTTTTTGTCGTGTTGCTATCTAGCGGTTGTTCAGAAGACCACCGTGATTTTTTTTTTCGTGATCTAGGAGGCCGTGGCAGCTCACAAGAAACGCACGAAGGCTATCAGAGACTCACCAGGATTATTTAGAACCAAAGGAAAAACCTCTAAATTCTAACAAGTTTTATGAAGTTAGTAAAAACCTCCCCAGAAACCTCGGTTAGAACTCGGGTTCTCGTTCGAACGAGGTTTTAATCAGTAGGCAATTATGTCAACATAATCAGGACAAAATTTGGTTCCGTTATGTCTACTCCCGGGCTGCCTGTTCCCGATGGAATACTATTTTGTTACCTTGCAGGGAAAATAGAGACACCTCTTTTCGCTTGAAACATGAGGCCAAACATACTCCACTGTTAATAATTTCAAGTAACAATGATTTTAACACAAATTTGTTTTACTATCTGACCGGCATCTATGCTCTTCGTTTAGTATTTTAATGTGACAGGCACAACTCATGACTTCTTACACATTTTTCATCTCTCTTTAGTGGCACCCATTTTTCTCCCCTCCAGATTTGATATCGTCCCCACATAGTTTCCAATCATCTTTAAAAAGAATGAAAAGAACTTAAAAAGCTCCAAACCCGCCTAAATGATTAAATTCTCCATACTTCTTTAACATTTCTTTCTTTTGTCTCATATTACCCCACATTGCAGGGAAATATGGGACGGCATTCCGAGGCTTATTGCAAGGTCCCTGCTGCACCCAAAAATCTGAAATTTGGTGGGAGTGTAGCCAAAGGGTCAATGAACAAGTGATGAACACCTCAGTACCTCAAATTGAAATAAAAAGGGGGAAATTCACAATAAAACCTCGAAATTTGTCTCATATTACCCCGTTCTACGGTAGTCCCACAGCTGTGTACTAAGCACACATTTGATTTTGTAGTGTGAACGGGAAACACGATCGTGCGTCAGATTTTTTTCGTACAGAAATTAATTTTTTCGCGATAACAATTTCCCAAGGAGTCCTAAATCTTGGGATTTTCCAATTTAAGATTTTTTTTCGACACCGGTGTTATTTTGGCACAGAAAGGTCCGTTGAATCCAAAAAATCACAGCCCCATATTTTTTCGAACGACTGTTCTGGAGATATTCAGACAGGCAATTTTTCTTTAGTTTAAAACTTGTGTGATTTTGCCGGCCCCGGCCGGCTTTCCATTCTGAGGCATTGGACGATGAATTCCAGTGACACTGGCCTTGTGCGCTGGCTGGCGTGGTCTACACACTGATTTTCTAAGTGTAATAATGAACTCTTTTAAAAAGCAATAACATTTTTATTGCTTTAGTAGTGCCACGAAAAAGTTATTGCATTATAAGTGCAATAATTATTGTATTGCATTAGCGCATTTATCGCATTATTAGCGTAGTTATCATTTTATCGCACCAAAACTGTGATAATCTGGGCCCAGACCGGCCTAAACATAAGGGACTTATTGCATTTTTAATGTGATGATTTTTTTATTGCTGCCACAGATGCGATAAATTGAAGGAATTGCACTAGCCTTTTATCGCAGCAAATTGTATGAAACTTATCACATTAGAAATACCAGTAGCAGCGTGCTCCTAAAAAGCTACCTTCGTACTAAGCTTGCGTCATTTTCTCCGTATAATGCGAAATTTCTTCGTAAGACATTGACAGTGTACTGTACCGTGCGACTTCGGTGTTTGCATTTGTGCTGCCACAGATACCATTACACTCAAAGTATCAGTCATTACACGGTCCTTCTAAATGTTCTCCTTAAAACCATCCTCTCTGATAACCTCACTATGTTTTAAATGAATTGGAGTTATTGTTTGTATTTACGTTCTTTTGGTGTTTATTTCCAGGACGGGGTTCCTTTGAAACGGGAAAAAGTCCACCTAATCAACTGCCCTGGTATTGTCGATAAAGGTTTGAAGTTCATGGGCCGGATGATAAGAAAAGAAGACCGGGACAGGGTAAGTCGAAGGGGCCTTTTCTAGGTTGGTAAAATGGGTGAAATGTGAAAATTTTGGTTGTCAGTTGATGACAATTTCGTGGCTATCTATCCTGATGGCATGTCATCAAGTTAATGACATAGCTGTCACGCTGAATTACCATGCAGGACTTAATGCCCGTCTTCGCACAAAATACAACCTGCCCTTCTAACGCACAAATTTGATCGCGAAAATGCACGGTTTTGTGCACGCACTGACAATAAAAGAGTCACCACCATTGCCCTCTTTACCGTCGCCCAGTTTTGGGTGACAATTCAGTGGTGATTTAATTTTGGGCAGTCTATAATTCATCGCTCCTATTTGGATAACGGACACATGCGCAAAGTATTCCAGGTTGAATTTTGTACGTTGCGTATGCACAAGAAAACATATACAGTAGTTGTGGTCGGTCAGGCCCGCAATAGGCATTAGGGTGGAGCGATGGGTCTAAAATCAAAAATTCTTTCACAGAAGTGGGTCGTTCAGGATACTGTAAGGCCAGTGCCAAAACAGTTTTGGCCGGGGCCGCCCCCTTCTTGCCCATCAGAGGCCTCAAAAATGGGTCTAAACGTCAAAATTGGCACTTTTACGACCATTACATTGGGACCAGGTACAATTTTGACATGCTCTATCTCGCTTTTGGTGCGGAATATATGTCCGAATGCTGTGAATTTTTCGGAGAGCTGTCGGACAGGGTCTTTGGCCCGGGCGGAGGCCGTTTTCGTCAAAAACGGCGTGAAAATCGTCGTTTTTCATGTACTTTGATGTCTTTCGCCATCCTGTGCATTGTGTTATGCCGTTTAACTGTGCATTGTGTTATGCCGTTTAAGACGTCCCACTCGATCCGTCTCTCAAGACCAATTCTGAAATGTCATTTTGCATCCAATCTACTCAGGAGGTGACCAGAGTGGAACCGAAAATGGCCATGATCACGCCGGAAGTGCACGAAATGTCGAAAACAGCAGTTCCCTATTTTGACCGAAACGTGTCCACTTCCAGCGCGCTCATGGTCATTTCCACTCTTTCCACTTGTGATATCATTTTCTGTGTGCTAAATAAGCGTGGCTGGAACCACATTGCAAATAAATTATTGTTTAAATCATTTTGTTTTTGTCGGCAGATGCAATCTTACAGTGGCGATGACTATTCTGAATTGTACAAGTTTGTGCCTAAAGATTGCTTGCCGAGTGATGTTGGAGGGAACCTGCCTCCGTTAGAAGAACTCCACGGTAAGTGTTCTCTTGACTTGATATAGTCTCCTTCGGTGAACCTGAGAACCGCCCCGCTTATTTGGGCAATTTTGAGCACCTCGACGAGTTTGTAGGTTGCTCATCAGCCAAACGGGGAACTTCAGACTTATTGCCAAGATCCGCCCTAAGCACACACTAAATTGCTCCGTAGTTTTTTTGTGCACAGCTCACTGGTATTTCTATTGTAATAAGTTTAATACAATTTGCTGCGATAAAAAGGCTAGTGTGATTCCTTCAAATTATCGCATCTGTGGCAGCAATGAAAAAATCATCACATTAAAAATGCAATAAGTCCCTTTAGGTTTTGGCCGGTCTGGGCCCAGATTATCACAGTTTTGGTGTGATAAAATGATAACTACTCTAATAATGCGATAAAAGCGCCAATGCAATACAATAATTATTGCACTTATAATGCAATAACTTTTTTGATGGCGCTACTGATGCAATGAAAATGTTATTGCTTTTAAAATAAGTTCATTATTGCACTTAGAAAATCAGTGCTTGTGCACAATATGCACAAAAAACTACTTTGTTTATTAGAGTGCTCTGCAAACTCAAGTGTGTGCCAGGCACACACTTCCTGGTGCATGCCTGCAGGCACACACTTCCTGGTGCATGCCTGGCAGGCACACACTTCTTTTCTGCATGCCTGGCAGGCACACACTTCTTTTCTGCATGCCTGGCAGGCACACACTTCCTGGTGCATGCCTCAGGCACACACTTGCCGTCGCTTCAAGCAAGTGTGTGCCTGAGGCATGCACCAGGAAGTGTGTGCCTGCCAGGCATGCAGAAAAGAAGTGTGTGCCTGCCAGGCATGCACCAGGAAGTGTGTGCCTGCAGGCATGCACCAGGAAGTGTGTGCCTGGCACACACTTGAGTTTGCAGAGTGCGCAACCTTCATGCGCATTCATGATCAACTTTCTTTCCTCTAAATGCACCACGGGCCTGAAACGTCTTTGAGTGACAGAATGCTCACACGTACCACCCAAAGGGCTTCAAAATTGTGCTATTATTTTAGCAGTGCACGTGAGAGTGGCTGAGTGTGTGCTCAGTGCTTGTATCAGTAGTAAATGTTTCATATATTGCGAAGGATTTCGCCTCGTAATACGAGGGATTTGGCTTCGCAATACGAAGCAATTCTTTGCAGAATTTACAATGCCTTCGTTTTCTATGTCTTACGAAGCGCTGCTTCGTGGACTTTTTCCTGTGTTTATTTCGAAATGCTGTGTTTGCTTGCAGAGCTGACTGTTCAACGACTAATAGATTTTAAAGAAGTCTTCCAGAAGCATTCGCCAGGGGTCAAAACGGAATGAAGAGAAAAGCTGGGATAACGCGCAGCAACACTACTGAAAGAATATTAGATTAGGCAGTAGTTTCATGAAACAAAATTGAATTCTGCTGGCCGATAGAAACACTTAACAACGTGCTGTTGACTCGTGCAACTCAGAAAAAAAACCTATGATCTCTCTAATTTTTGTGCGGATGATTTATTTTTATTTCACATATCATGACAACCATCGATATCGATCATTTGTACAATAAATTTCAACGACACTGTTTTTACATCATAATTGTGTAATGTTCTTATTTTGTAACGATCCCTGTCTTTCCCCGCAAAATCAACAAGGTTTCAAAGGACAGCAATGCAAATGCTCTCTAACAAGGAGGGCCTCGTCCGCTTGTGCATTCTGAAAGCAGAAGCTCCTAAATTACTCCTAAAATTGTGTTTTTTAATATTTTGACCATATAAAGAGGCTGTAACCTCGCCTGATGGTAACAATAGTTGGCTTAGAAACCACAAGACCGCACAAAAATTAAGACCCAAACTTAAAAATTTGCCAAAACTTTATAAATACCATCTAACATGCATCCATAGATGTTAAAGGGGTAACACAGAGGTGCAGAAAATCCAATGACGATGTTAACTGTGTAGTCAGTGTTACACGTGGGACAGAATACGAGGCTAAAAACGCATAACAAACCGAGAAATTTCATTTTAAGCCCCCGCCCCTCCCCTAATAAAGGCGAAGAGGTTTCAAACTGTTTCAAATCACTACTCAACGTTAAGTGTCGGAGATATATCTCCGACACTTCGTCAGAATTTCTGATCCAATTAAATTTTGACTGTGTAGAAGGCTTCAGAACAGGACAAAACACGCAGCATCTCGATCCTAGCAAAATTGTGCGATTTATACTGTTAGTGTTTAAAAATTAACAATTTAAGTGAAAAAAGAAGTCAAAATTAGGATTACAACAATTTTACGAAAGACTCACTCTGCAAACTCAAGTGTGTGCCAGGCACACACTTCCTGGTGCATGCCTGCAGGCACACACTTCCTGGTGCATGCCTGGCAGGCACACACTTCTTTTCTGCATGCCTGGCAGGCACACACTTCCTGGTGCATGCCTCAGGCACACACTTGCTTGAAGCGACGGCAAGTGTGTGCCTGAGGCATGCACCAGGAAGTGTGTGCCTGCCAGGCATGCAGAAAAGAAGTGTGTGCCTGCCAGGCATGCAGAAAAGAAGTGTGTGCCTGCCAGGCATGCACCAGGAAGTGTGTGCCTGCAGGCATGCACCAGGAAGTGTGTGCCTGGCACACACTTGAGTTTGCAGAGCATATATGGAGCCTTCACTTTAAGTCTCGTTACGTACGATACGTATCTAATCAAAGGGAATGTTTGGATTGCGCGGTTCATACTGTGGAGAAGCCACATGTAACAGGTGTGAACTAGCCTCTCAAGTGTCCCCAGCAGACCAATGCCGGGCACTGCTTTCGTTGCTGTCTCCCCCCACCACACCCATGCGGAGCACCCTACACTCTCAGACTGTTATTCACTTTTTGTCCTTTGTTTAAAGAGTATTTTACACAGCAATAAAAGGTAATATTTCCTCAATATCTATGTCAGATTTCGTTCGTTATATTGACTCAAAGTCAATTTGCTATTGACAAAGAGTCAATACGCAATGGACTTTTAAAAAAATCAATAATTGATGGACAGTTTAGTCCTTATAGTGAACAATATTGTACATGGTTACGAAGGAAATACTATTATTGCTGCTTAAAAAACTACGTAAGCAAAGAACAAAAAGTCAATAACGGAGAGAACAAAGGCAATACTTATAAGTCTGAGAGTGTATGAGTGTGAGAGAGACAGAAAGGAGTGCTCGGAAGCAGCCTGCAGGTGGGGGCGCTCCTCAAGTGCAGTCTTGCCCAATCTCACAAGCGCTACTGCCGTAGGCAGCACAGCGCAGTCAGTTGGAAGGCCAAGATGCTGGCGGTTGTGGTGGTCACTTGCCTCGCCGTGCTGGCGTCGGGGAGACAGGCCGATGGCCTGACCCTCGGGGAACCAGGTAAGCGCTGTACACTGAGAATCCAAACGCGATGAGTAGCGTCCATTGGTGCGATACAAAAGCATCGCACATGAAGTGTGCGATGCCTCCCCATTCCCATGCATTAGCATAGGGCATTTTCGGGACGCATCGCTCGTAAGGTGCGATATGGCTATCGCATTGCACGTATGGTGCGATATCATACCATACGTGCTATACCCATAGCGTTTGGAATCTCAGTGTATGCCTTCATCACACTAAATTCTTATGGACTTTTTAAATGCATAATTATGCAATTTTTTTCCGTAGTTTTGCATGCACAGATACGTTTATTAGATATTTATAATACTATGCATCACTGTGTACATTTTATGCATCTTCCTACATAAAATGTACACAGTGATGCATAATATTAGACATGCCTTATGGCTTTGCATGCTTTAAAAAAATGCTCCTGAAAAAAGCTTCCTTACCCAAATTTGGTCGATAAAGGGTGTACCAGCTATCAATATAGCTAGATCATTCAAATATGGTCGAGAAAACTATTCTCACCGAAATTTGGGTGGGTAAGAATGACTCACCCAAAATTTAAGTCCTGAGTATGACTCTTAGATTGTCAGCATATTTTTAAAAAAGCACATAATGCGATCTTATTACTGGACAAATGAGTTCCACGTGTGCACGTTCCAACGTCCGTAGAATTCCGCTCCCACAAAGGTATTCGCAAGTCTACTAAACTTGCCAGTGAACACTTTTCCAAGGCGGAACAAACTCTCGCTATGACGGGCCACATTTCGGTGGCATTTCGGTGGTCATCTGACACTGTGTTTCCATATGACATGCGGTGTTACGTCCGAAGTCCACAGAGTTTTTCTTTCCAAATTTAATTACTTTACGCTTTCATCCGAAGACGTGATTCACTCCTCCCAACGCCGAAGCAGCCTTTATCTTCCTATGGCAATCGATTCGTATCTTTCTCGGTAACGTGACACGACAATTCATCCGTCTTTTCGCGATAACGTTTAGGCTTAATTTTTTTTTTGTCACTTGTACCGTGTTTGGGAACATACATAACCGCTGGATCTGGATTCCTCTCATTTTTTTAAAAATTTTGCGGATTAAGTAAACATACGTTGGGGGGGATGGGGTCGAACCGTTGATTACGTTTGATAACAACACTGCAAAGCCTGTGGTAAGTTTACTTGCCACAAATTTGGCAAGCCGTTTTGAATGCCAAAATTTGGCAAGCTATGGTCGGAAATCTTCAAAAGCTTGCCAAATTTTGGCAAGCTGGGGGCTATTTCCAGGTTAAGCTTGCCAAATTTTGGCATGCTGGGGAGTATTTCCAGTATATCCCGTTTGCATTGAAGAGGCCTAAATCAGTTGAAACCAAGCGACACTCTGAAATCTGTTGAAATCTGGCGAAGTCAAGTGAAAGTTCATCAGAATCGGGCAGAATCGCGTTCTCTTTAAATTCGCGCTCTATCTCACAGAAACTTGCGATATTTCCGCAAAATCTTTTTCCCAGGAAGGGGGGTGAACACTTCGACGGCAACGCGTAAAGACTCCTGGGTGCTCACTGAGAATCCAAACGCGATGAGTATAGCGTCAATTGGTGCGATACAAAAGCATCGCACATGAAGTGCGATGTCTCCCCATTCCCATGCATTAGCATAAGGGCATACGGGACGCATCGCACGTAAGGTGCGATATGGCTATCGCATTGCACGTATGGTGCGATATCACACCATACGTGCTATACTCATAGTGTTTGGAATCTTGGTGTTACGTTGTAATGCGGTAGTATTAAACATGTACCCCAAAAGTACCCTTACAATAGCGAAGAGTTCCGAAACCTAGCCAAGGACTATTCCAAACTTGTCCACCAGCCCCGGACAGTTCCGCTTCCCCTCTGGTTTGGCCCGAATCGAGTCCGGGCCGAATAGGAGTCCGGACCGGACAGTTCCGTTTCTTGGTTTCTGAACCACTCAAAGTCAAGGACTGTCCGAAAGAGTCCTGCCTAGGTGCAGCTGGCCCGGGCCCGGGCCGAGCCGGGGCGCCCGGACGTCCCGGCAACTGGGTACGCGGAAAACGCCGCTCGCCGGCGTGCCGAAGCAAGCCGAAGGCCCGAAGCCCGAAGGGTCGCCGAGGTTGCCTGACGGACGCGGGCAGAGATGCAGTTTTCGCCAGTTTTCGGCGCGCTGTTGAGCGAGTCACATCGCACAGCAGCGCATCTGTGATCAGTGAACATAGAGGAACGCGCACAAGTCACACCTACTTTTCACTCGTTACTTTCTCGGAGCGATGTTCAGGCGATTCGCGACTGTTCTAGAAGTAATTTTTGGTGAGGTGTCCTGTACGGCGTTTTCCTAAACATTGATCGAATTTGAGTGCGTTGCTGTACTAAGTGTCCCAAACAAACAACTATCCGCTGGCTGCTGGCTACCGCAAGTGTGTGTGTGTCTCAAACTTGAAGGACGGGCGGTGAGAGGGTGGGAGGTGTATTATTTTATTCGCCTCTCCTCTTTCACCCTCGTCCCCAAGTGTTCCCATCATTTGCAAACAGCTTCAACGAGTTCGCTTGTGCAGGCATGTACTTGCAGGTATGCTACAGTTAGTGCATGATCAAAATTTGTGTGTAATACTCCACTAGAGGCTGTAAATCGCGTCCCTTGCCGTGTCTGACCGGCCACCGTGCCCCGAGCCGAGTCGAGCCGAGCCGCCACGGCAGTAGTGGCCGTTCAGCCGAGCCAGGTAGGGTGAGCCCAGCCGGCGCTAGGGCGCGCTCCCGCGGAAAATCCCCGGCCGGCCGGCCGGCCGGCCCAAGCAACCTGCGTCCGAAGGGAAAGGGGAAGGGGGAAAGGGAGGGGCGAGGGGCAGCAGGCTGGTGCATTTGTTCGGACTGTCCGTTTTTCGACTAGCGTTGGTACTCAGGACAAGTCCGGAATCTTTCTGACTTTGGTCTTTTTCAATGTTTTTGGGAACTGTCCGAGGGCGGATTTAGGAACTGTCCCGGTCCGACTTTTGGAGCCGTTTCGGACGGTCCGCAAACGGTTGTTTTTGGCTGCTTTTCGGACTCCAACATTTTCGTACGGGTACCTTTACGTGTTCCACGCGTAAAACAGTGCGTCAGTGTTTACTCCGTCGGAATCTAGAGAGGATCTCGACTCGAGTACCCCTGAAAACAGAAGGAAAAGACTGCGCCAAAATGTGGCGAAACAAAAACTTTTTCCAAGTTTTGGTTAGACCTTAAAGTCTGGTCAAAAATTGCTCAGACATGTCTCGCCACCAAAAGGTGTGACCTTCGTGGGAAACTTCGATTGGTAGGGACTCTAGACACTTGCTCTTAAGGGGGGACCCTGGTGAAAAAATGACCAAAATTGCCAAAAATAGTATTTTCAAAGTTCAAAGATAAAAATGTGCATAGAAGGTTTCAGATTCAACAGGTTGAACACCTTTAAACTATGTGGGTAGTTCCTTCATCATTTGGAAAGAAATAACATTGAGATCAGTTGTCGTTGGCTTATACGCTCAACTTCACAGCTTTGCTCAGTCGACAAAAAATTTTGTCGTAGAAAGACTTTTTGCGTTCCTGGTTGACACCTACATGAGTCGTATTGCATGGACTCTATTCATTGATGACTTATCGACAAATTTTAGTGACGGAATCTTGATATCAGCCCTACTTTTTTTAACACACACCTAAAAGTTTCAAAAAAAGGCAAAAAATTCACTTTTTTTAAATGTTAAAATTTGAAAATTGATATCTCAGGACAGAAGTTGAAATTGAAAATTCCGTCACTAAAATCTCTTCTATACATCTTAAGGATAACCCAAAAAAATTTTCAAGACTTTCCGTTCCAATGAAAGACGCAGGAAGATTTTTCCCCAACGCTCTAAAAAACACTAAAAAGCCACTTTTCTCAGAGACCGTTCAACATTTTGGATTGAATTTTGTTTTATGAACTCACCATAATGAACCTAATAATCAAGCAAAGTTTCAACTTTCTGGGATTATTTTAAAGCCTACTTGAAAGTTTCACCAGGGTCCCCCCTTAATGCACTGTACACTGGTGAAACAAAGGCATTAAAATTATGTCCTTTAAGGGCGTAAACGATTTACTCCCTTAAAGAGCATAAATCGTTAATGCCTTCGGGAAGGACATTAAAATTTTGCTTGAAATTCCTATACCATTTACGCCCTTGCCAAGGGCATAAACGATTTATGCCCTTGCAAGGGCGTAAAAGAGTATTTATGCCTTTAAGGGCGTAATTTTTATGCCTTTGTTTTACCAGTGTAGCAGAAAGTTTAGTTTGTGTCTGTACTTTTCACTGAGGTCGCGCATCGGACAAGGTTGGGGCCGCGCTGCAGGATGAAGATCTCTATTCCATTCCACAAGGATTTCTTCTGGGTGCCGGAGTGTCGGCGTGCCAAGCTGAAGGGGCGTGGGACGCGGACGGTAAGTTGTTGACGCTTAAAGCGTACGTACAGTGCAAACTACTTGGTTTGTAATACGAAGAAATAGTTCGTACATGACGGAGTATTTTCTTTGTGAGCTTAAGTATGCTCCAAATAGTTTGTTATATCAAGCAACTTCACTTGTTGAGGCATAATTCGTTCGTAAGGTGGTTAGAGTGTTTGTTCTTGCATCCAGAAAACTATTTTATTGAACAAACGAAAGTTCATAACCTAACGCACAAAATGTTTTGCGTTAAGGCTGTATCGACATTCAGTGCAGATTTTCTCGACAATATAACAGAAATTCAACAAAATAACTTTGAGGTGCAATGAGTTTTCCGAGGCTTGCCTCGGACCAATTTATTGCAAAGTCAGCTGCACCACCTTAATAGGGACTCTTCACCATGGACAATGTTCATCAAAGACTTTTAGGGTGTAGAGTAACCGAAACCTCTTCGGAATCATTGTTGGAAATCAGCATCGCAAGCGGTAGCATGCTGAGCTGGCAATCCGGGAGACCGGGGTTCGGTTCCGGAGAACGCGGTTCGATTTCTCTGGGTGTTCGGGAGGACAGGAGCGACGGAGCGAATGGGTAGGAACGAACGATCGTTGAGGTTCTAATTTTGTTTTTAAAACGACAAATTTTTATGATTTTAGCATTGCAGAATTCTGTAACCGGGAAACAGTTTACCGTAACGTGTGATACAAAATTTTGTATCAGCGCTGATACAAAATTCTTTGTAATGGAAATTACTGCGTTACCACGTTACAGAATTTTGTATTGAAATTTTTTTGAGTGTTGTCTCATTGCATCTATCATTTTGCACTGATTCCAGTAACGTGTTCACGCCAAAACTTTTATCGAAAAGCCCCGCCGAAAATTCGGCGTAAATAGCCTTCTTCGGCGGACACTGTCGCGCCGCGTGTAAGTTCGGTGGAATCATGAGAGAAGGGCGCCCTGGAGAAGAAGCGAGAAGCCGCTCGGACGCCGCTCTGGCCAATGGGGGACCAGCTGGAGGGCGCAAATTAAGTGCCACGAACTTGGTACTAGTCTCGTTCGATGCGCAATGAAATTTTCTATGGAATGATACTTGTCGGAAGGCTGTGGACCCAACCGTTTCCGAGCACGAGCCTCAGAAGACCGCGAAAAGCCGCGAAAAGCCGCGAAACGTACTGCGGCGGACGCGTCAACATGGACACATGCGGGACGACAGGCCGCCAGCAAGCCTCACCGCATTGCCCATACTTTGCAAAATTTTAGTTTGAAGTATAAGCTACGCTCTGAACTTTACCGCGTTAAGATATCTCTATTAGTATGGCTCTGGCGTTCATGTAAAGCTGCAAAAGCGGCAGAATCTTGCGTCCGGCGGCCTATCCTTTAACATGGGGCCATGTTGACGCGTGCGCCGCGGCTTTTTTCGCGGTCTTCTGAGGCTCGCGCTCGGAAACGGTTGGGTCCACAGCCTTGCGACAGGTATCATTCCATAGAAAATTTCATTGCGCATCGAACGAGACTAGTACCAAGTTCGTGGCACTTTATTTGCGCCCTCCAGCTGGTCCCCCATTGGCCAGAGCGGCGTCCGAGCGGCTTCTCGCTTCTTCTCCAGGGCGCCCTTCTCTCACGGTGGAATCACCCGCCGAACGCCGCCGAACGCCGACGCGACGTCCGCCGAAGCTCGAGCTTCCCACCGATCGGTGGGAGTGCCCGGGCCCATGAGGCCCCGTTGTGCTTCGGCGGCCTTCCGCCGAACGGCTTGCCGTCCATGTTCAACGCTCCTTCGTCAATCAAATCTAATTGGGATTTTATGTAACAGGGCACGGAATATACTAGCAAGGCAACGTCAAATTTCACGTAGAATCTTATTTTAGGGTCAGTTGTGTAAATTGTCCAATGTTCCAGTTCCAAGCGGATATGCAAAACAGAGCTAGGTTAAGTCAGCCGTGACGTGCGCCTCGCACCGTGCTTCGACGGCAAACCCCTGTCGCGATTCATGCCGTATTTTCGGCGGTATTCCTTCGAAGGTTCGATAAAAGTTTTAGCGTGTTTGTTTCTTGGGCCTGGCCTGTCCGCGAACGTATTTTAGTGTATCAGAAAAAGGGCCCATGATTGAAGGTCATTCTTTGCTTTGATTCTGCAGGTAAGGCTGAGAGCGTCTTAGATCGTATGGCCCACGTCAAGAACAATCCGGTTTTCCACAGTAGCCCTGATGTATCGTCTAATCATTATCACCGCTACAAGGAAGACTTGGCGATGGCAAAGGACATGAAGGTAAATGCTAATTTTATTTTGATATTAACTGCAACTTCCGTCACTTCATTCTTATTTGAAATTTTGAGATAAATCCGTCACGTTTCATTGGTGAAAAGGTTACTTTTAAGACATGGGTTTTATGTTTTAAAATATTGTATAGGAGGGATCACTTTTCAGGGAAAACATTTATGGCCCTGAGTCCCTGAGTGGGATAGTGTCTTGACCCGATTGCGTTCTTCGTACTCACTAAATGTGTATGGACTTTTATTTTCCATAACTATAGCCATATTTGTACATACGGAAGTTAAGTACAATTTAATGCGTACATAAATTTGGGACATATTTTTCCTTATTATGAAATAGTACCGAATTCATGTACGAATTTGTGCATAACTTACATATGTTCAAATAGGGCAATGACGACCATAGGAATTTTGCCTGAACTGCCAGAATGTGACTGTTTCAATTTTATGTCTAGTTCACATCACACCGTTTCTCCATCTCCTGGTCTCGCGTGCTTCCCAAGGGAGATACCAGCCACGTCAACCAGGAAGGTGTCCGTTTCTACCATGACTACATTGACGAGATCAAGCGCTTAGGCATGGAGCCAATGGTAAGTTGAATAGGTATCTTAATTCAATTCTGTTGAAAGCACAAAATCTTACCAAGTCGAAGCGTTTGCGAATGAATCCCCTTGTCACGCACTTTTAAGCGAAAAAATAGGAATGAGGGAACATCTTCTCACCCCTGAAAAATGCGTTACAACAATAGATCACTAAGATAGAGAGAGCACCTTGTGAATAACAATTAGAAAAGTCAGCTTTCTTTTTTCGGCTGGCCGCTGTTCAAAGTCTTTCAAACCTCAACAATTAAATTTTCAGGTGACGATGCTGCACTTCGATCAGCCGTACACACTGGAAGTGGAGACGGGAGGTTGGACCAAGCCAGCGATGGTGGATAAATACGTCGAGTACGCCGGTTTTCTCTTTGCCGAGTTTGGCAGCAAGGTAAGTCCGAATTGGGAGACGGAACCATAACTGACAGTATCTCGTCATTGTGTGCGATCAGAAGGTACACGGTAAAACCATCTCCCGGGATTCCCAGGAATATCGGTCAATTCCCTGAAAAATCTCCTGGGATTCCCAGGAATATCGGTCTATTTCCAGAAAAATCTCCTGGAATTCCCAGAAATATCGGTCAATTCCCTGAAAAATTTCCTGGGATTCCCAGGAATATCGGTTTATTTCCAGGAGACGCTTTTACCGTGTTGGGGGCAGCTGTGTCCTTTCTTTCTTGATGCCTACTCCCTCAAAATGATTCTATCTGTAGGTGAAATACTGGACCACAGTCAACGAGCCCAACATGTACTGCAACTACTTCCCCACCGTCATGAACTTGTCGGGGCTGGCACCGAAGGATGATATGAATATTTACAAGTGTATGCACAATATGGTCATTGCGCACATGAAAACGTACCGCTTGTATAAGGAGAAGTACTACAAGGACCAGCAAGGTAAGGCACGACATAAGTACGTTGAGTAGAGTATGTCGCCCGTATGGAAAAAATCGTCTGCGAATGCATTGCTTTTTGTCGGCTTAATCGGATCGTTTGCGGACCGTTCTCAGCTAGACGGCAGACAAATCGCGATCAAGACGCAGTCAACTCTAAGACAGGACGCAAACAGGGGCCAGACAGGATTCGGACTTGGGCCCGCAGTGCATGCGCAGGCAAATGTTAGGCCGAAAGTAGCGTGTTCGCAGACACGGCGCGGCCCATCCGCCGACCGTCCGCAGACAAAAATGTACCTCAATCGCTCTGCGGAACGTCTGCGGACTGTGGGGTGTCGGAGCTCGGCTCGGCAAAGCTACGTCACAGCTCGTCTTCAGATCGTCTACGGAACGTTTGCGGAAGGTGTGGTGAACGTCTGCGAACCGTCTGCGTTTCGTCGGGAATCAAACATCAACACAAACAAAAACAAGAGCGTGAGTCGCGGCCTGGGCGACTCGAACCCGCAGCCTTTGGGCTGCTGATCAGAGACGCTACCCACTTGGCCAGAGTGGGAAGTCTGAGAGGAGCGTCGCGAGGCTGCGTCAAGTTCCGCGCAGCCGCCCCGACTTCGGTTACCGGACTTGCAAAACAATGTGAACGATCTACAAATCAAAGTGTTTACTTGTGCGCTGTAACTGGAGCGTACTTGTCTATGTACGCTGCAACTAGAGCGTACTTGGCAAGTACGTAGTACGTACACTATATTTGAAGCGGACATCAGACAAGTACGCTCCAGTTACAGCGCACAAGTAAACACTTTGATTTGTAGATCGTTCACATTGTTTTGCGAGTCCGGTAACCGAAGTCGGGGCGGCTGCGCGGAACTTGACGCAGCCTCGCGACGCTCCTCTCAGACTTCCCACTCTGGCCAAGTGGGTAGCGTCTCTGAACAGCAGGCCAAAGGCTGCGGGTTCGAGTCGCCCAGGCCGCGACTCACGCTCTTGTTTTTGTTTGTGTTGATGTTTGATTCCCGACGAAACGCAGACGGTTCGCAGTAGTGTTCGAAAATTCCCGGGAACAATCATTCAGGGGAATATTCCCGAGACTTCCCGGGAATTCCCGGGAATATTCCCATTTGGCCGGGAACATTGCTTCAAATGAAACCCATCTCATGTGATAAAAATTAAACTTTTTCTTACGAATTTTTTTTATTAGTATTACGAAACATTTTTTCTTGCTCTCTTCTGAAAGAAAAATGCAAATACACTAGAGTGATTCATAATTATTAATTGGTTCCCTTGCACTATCAACATTTTTCGTGCAAAAACTAGCTATTTTTAGCCATGTTTTAAAAATTCCCGGGAATTTCCCATTTTTTGGGTCTGATTGTGCCCGGGAACGTTCCCGGGAATTCCCTTAATTCCCGGGAATATTCCTACCCTTTAGAACACTAGTTCGCAGACGTTCACCACACCTTCCGCAAACGTTCCGTAGACGACCTGAAGACGAGCTGTGACGTAGCTTTGCCGAGCCGAGCTCCGACACCCCACCCACAGTCCGCAGACGTTCCGCAGACCGATTGAGGTACATTTTTGTCTGCGGACGGTCGGCGGATGGGCTGCGCCGTGTCTGCGAACACGCTACTTTCGGCCTAACATTTGCCTGCGCATGCACTGCGGGCCCAAGTCCGAATCCTGTCTGCACGGCAAAAGTACCGCCTGGGATTCCCAGGCGGTGCCTGGAAAATAGGCCCTTTTTCCCATGATGCGCCTGGGAATCCCAGGCGGTACTTTTGCCGTGTGGCCCCTGTTGGCGTCCTGTCTTAGAGTTGACTGCGTCTTGATCGCGATTTGTCTGCCGTCTAGCTGAGAACGGTCCGCAAACGACCCGATTAAGCCGACAAAAAGCAATGCATTCGCAGACGATTTTTTCCATACGGGTCACTGCTCTGTCGAACGGTTTTCTTCGTAGGCTACGAAAGGCTTTGTTCTTTGTAGGGTTTTAAGTGTGCTGAAGCGAAGAGACATTTCAGCGATTTTGATTTTGATGACCCCACTGGTAGCCGACGAATGTGACGTCGTATTCGCTCGAATGTGAATTTTGTCACGTTCGTTTGAATATGATGTCACATTGGTTTGAATGTTGATTCACGTTCAGACGAATGTGACACCCTACTTAAACGGCCGAGTCACGCACTAAGTAGGTTTTTCTGCGCGCCAATGCACGAAATTAAACATGCACTTCGTAACGCGCGAATTTGTGCGCGACAATGCACGATTTCGTGCAGAAAATCGTGCATTGTCGCGCACAAATTCGTGCGTTACGTACAAAGTGCATGTTTAATTTCGTGCATTGGCGCGCAGAAAAACCTACATAGTACTTTAGTGTGCGGTCAAACGAATGTGACGTCATATTCAAACGAACGTGACAAAATTCACACAGCAACGAATATGACGTCACATTCGTTGGCTTCCAGTGGCTACACAAAGTTGTTTCTTTCCCCTGAGCAGGCTTCGTGGGCACCTCCGCGCTGCTGTGGCCGTCCATTCCCGCGACCACCAGCGCCGAGGACGTCGTGGCCGCCGACACCTTCAACACAGTCTTCGCCGGGACCGTGCTCCACCCGCTGGTGTACGGCGACTATCCTCCGCTCACGCGCTACATCGTCGACAGCCGGTCCAAGGCGTTGGGGCTCGCCGAGTCTCGTCTCCCGGAATTCACCCCAGAGGAAAAGGAGCAGCTGGTTGGTGAGTCAGTGGCGGATCCATAGAGCGCAGTGGGCCAGAAGACCGGCGGCGACGGCCAAAACTCCAGACGCGTTCCAGAGTCGCTGAATAGGACTCGAACCGAGCCTGTGACCCCACCAATGGATTCCTCGTCGGAGAGCAATCCGTTGGTGGAGTCACACGTTCGGTTCGAGGCCCATTTAGCGACTCTGGAGCTCAAAACTCATCTTGAATTTTGACCGCCTCCACCGGTCGGGTCTTCTGGCACTTTTTGCCTCCTTACATTAAATGACAGTCCTTGGGCAATTTTACGCGGAAGCATAAAATTGATAGCCCTAGAATGAAACTCCCCGCGTGAAATTCCCCAAACCATGTTTCACTTCAGAAAATTAAAATTAAGTACAGCTCAGCCATTTATGTTTCTCAGGATATTGTTAGTCCGCATTCGACTACTCCAGAGATGTGTAAGAACCCTCACAACATTAGCATGTTCACCAATAAATTCCCACAAACGACGTTCTTTACAAAGTAAACGAGTTGGTTTTGCAAAGGGAAATATCCCTCCTAGCCTAAGAAGAACTCCGCAGCCTGCGAAGGAATTTCTCTTTGTATTACAAACAGAATTGTTTGTATCGGTCGTAGGCTGCGAAGCTGCCGTTTTCTTTATATTCTTTGTACTACAAAGGACGTTTCCTGTAGGATTTTAAAAAGTGTGTTCAGAGAGGGTCAAGGAGAGTTTAAGCGTTTCCCTAACTGATTGCTCTTCAAAGTGCTCACTCAGCTCTATGGTGTTGGTTGCAGGAACCACGGACTTCATCGCACTCAACGTTTACAGCAGCTTCGTTGCAGCGTATGACCTGGACGGTTCAGGCGGCGAAGTAACGCCCGCCCTTCTTGGGCCCATCATGGACGACATGGCGTTCCTCAAGCTGTCCGGTGGAATGGCGAGCTTCAACACGGTGAGTTACAGTCTCAATGTCTTACGGTGGAAGGCTGCATACCATCGACAAAATACCCATATAATCGAGAGCTGAATCACTTCGCGTTCTGGTGGACACATGAGTACACGGGTGAACACACCTTAGAAAACTCATTAATTTCACAATTTTAAAGTTTTAAAGGCTTTATTTCGTGTTTTACACAATACGCAACACCAAATCTTCCTTCAAACTAGCAAATTTTTGCTTAGTTTAAACTTGTGAGTACACTGAGTACAGGCTAATTTGTACACCACATGAGTATACACCAGTGATTCACCCCTCACATATAGTACTGAGAATCCAAACGCTGAACATGACTTTTAGACATTGCACTACATTGCACCCATGTGTCTGGGACCCAGGGGCAATGTGGCTATCCATACACTGAGACAAGGTGGTGCCCTGAAACTGACCGACTAAGTCGCCCGCCCCAGTTTTTAGGGCGACTTGAGTCGCCTACTTTCTGGGCGACACAGTCGCCTAGTTTCTGGGCGACACAGTCGCCTAGTTTTAGGGCATCTTGGTCGTAAATACAGAGCTTACTTATGAATGCTGGCCCAAGGCGCCCTCAACCTGAGCACCTTTGGGGTTGGTCCGACATGTAAACCACTCCTGCCCAGATTCGGGGCACCTATTGCGCCTAGATTCGGGGCATCTCTGACGCCACCCAAATGTGAAATCATTGAGTTTATCCATGTGCAGGCAAACTTGTGTGCAATGCCTTGGGCCAGCATAGATAAGTAAGCTCTGTATTTGCGACCAAGATGCCCTAAAACTAGGCGACTGTGTCGTCCAGAAAGTAGGCGACTCAAGTCGCCCTAAAAACTGGGGCGGGCGACTTAGTCGGTCAGTTTCAGGGCACCACCTTGTCTGAGTGTACCCACATTGCGCCTACGTCAAATGCGCCCTGACAATGCCCTCGCTTGCCAATTGAGAAAGCATGGGAAAGCATTGCTTTTCATATGCAATGCCAAAGCATTCCACCAATTGGTGTAATTGGTGCAACGTCTTGGAACGCATTGTGCCCATTGACGCTTTAGCATTTGGATTCTCAGTGGGGAAAAAAAAACTACTAATTTAGTGTGTTCTTTTGTGCTGCAGACTGATGCCTCCATGATGCGTACGACACTTCTGTGGGCTTGGAATGCTTACCACGTGCCCATCGTCATCGCGGAGAACGGCTTTGGCGACATGACCGGTGTGGGCCTTCGAGACAGCGCCCGGTCTGTATACCACAGCGTAAGTACACTGGTAAAACTAAAGCGTGACTCTATGCTTGACTCAAGCATAGAGTTAAGCTCACTCTAAATGTCGACAGTGAAGATTCTCCATATTATGGTGAAAATGTTCCATATTATGGAGGTGCAGCTGACTTCGTAACATACCATTGAGAATTCACTGTACCTTATAGAGAGTTTGACGAATTTCGTTGGTATTATGGAAAAAAATCTCCACCATATTAAGTTGGTGCAGCCTTTCACCGTAAGACATTTACTGTGCTTGAAGACGTTACGCTTGAAATGAAGCGTATACTTGAAATTCCCCCATGCATTTAGATAGGGGGAATCTTGGACTGATTACGCTTGAAAACAGAGGGTAATAACGCTTTAGTTTTACCCGTGTGGTGCACACTAAGTTTTTATGTACTTTTATTGTCCATAACACCTATTGCCATATTTGTGGAAACCGAAACTATGTATATACATAGGACAAAATTTTCATGTTCTGCTTAAGTAATTATGAAATTGTATAGTAATAGTAACTGTTATGGACAAAAAGTCCGTAGAAATTTAGCAGAAAATTGTATGAAAAGTTCAACTCCTTATATCCCTGTGATATCTCGATAATCTTGTGATTTTACGTAGTTAACCTCTTACACCACCTTATAGTTTTTCAAGACGTTTACTAATGAAATGTTTCATTTTCAGTCGAATCTTCGATCACTCCTTCAGACTATGAAGCAGTTTGACGTGAAAGTGATTGCTTATTATGTATGGGCACTTCTCGACGTCTTTGAGTTCTCTGCGGGATACGATGAGTGAGTATCGGTTTTCATGTCAACTGATTCGCGCAGCAAAATATTGCACTTCACAAGAAATCCAGAAGGAAACGATTCTCATGACAAATGCAAAAAAAAAATATTACAAATTTTGAAAAATTTCAAACAGTCAAAAATTTTGATTTGTTTTCCCCTCGGGTGGAGCATTTTTTTATTGATGATTGATTGATTGGTTTGTTCCTGGCATGCTCAAAAGTTCCATGACCTTGACATATTGCTGTACATTAAAATGTGGACATCTCGAGTAGAACGACTTGGTTAGCTATCAATAAATGGATAGTAATCCGTATTGCTAGAAATTTGGCGTAAATCCAGTGAATTCCAAGGGTAATAGACGCCTAACGCCTGTAATGCAGTGGAGTGGAATGCTATGGATCTATAAATCATGAAAATGGGTCACAGTGCTCTGGAGTGGACACCTCCCAATGCCATTGGGCCAGAAAACCGGTAGAGGCGGTCAAAAGCAAACGTGTGGCACGTTCGGATAGAGTCCCATTCTGCGACTCTGGAGCTCAAACCGCGTCTGGAGTTTTGGCCACCTTTACCTGTCTTCTGGCCCACTGTGCGACGGCCCGCGTCCGTCTTTTAGAACTAGTAACTGCAGTAGCTAATTCATATTTCTTCTTGTTTTCAGGCGCCCTTTTGGACTGATTCAAGTTGATTACAAGGATGCCTCATTAAAGAGGACGCTGAAAGACTCATCTCAATTTTTCGTCGAAATTGGCAACACCGGCAGAGTCCCGTACATTGCGCCACCCCTAAACTCAGCATCTGGGGTTCAACATGTTTGCTCCTGGTTGATGTTGTCCATTAGTTTTTTGGTGGTTAATTCTAGATTCCCCTATTTTTGAGTACCTGAGCATATGATTGATCTTTTAGTAGTAGTAACAAATAATGCTGAATAAAATAATCTAATCTATGTTTGAAGACAGCCGTTTTCATATGGAAGGAATCTTAGAAACGATAGCATCGTACCGAAACTTACAGTCGGAGCTGATACTTGCCATCGTCAACACTCTTGGAAAATAACTGAACACCATAATTTTCCGTTTATTGAAGAGTTTATTTGCTGTACACGAAGTACTGTTTCCCCTCTCGATTAGAAGAGACAACTTCCGTCGTCTGCTTTCTAGTTGTGTTACTTAAACCTGTTTTTTGTCGTTTTGAGTTGCTAAGGCAGTTCTTTCTCTACGAATCCAAAAGCGTACATTGTATGCTCTACACTCTAAATGTCTTACAATGAAATTTGACCTATGTTATTCGTAAGTTACAGTGAATTCGGCGCAAGCATAATACGAAGCAATATTCCTTCGTAATACGAATCTTTCTAGCTTTTTCATTGTAAGATACAAAGAAAAACCTTCGTAATACGAAGAAAAACCACCTTCGTATTATGCTTGCGCCATTTCCTTCGTATTATGGGAAATTTCTTCGTTAGACATCGAGAGTGATTGTACGCGCTACCTGGAGCATTCCTGCAAGCACGCCTAGCTAGCGCATGCCTGTCAAGCATGCACTAACTAGCGCATGCATGCCATGTACACGCTTCCTGATGCAGACAACTCCCCATCCTTATGCACTAGATGTGTGCTTCAGTTAGCGTGTAAGCTTACCTACCATTTATCCACAAGTAAGTGCATACTTGGCAGGCATGCGCTAGCTAGGGCGTGCTTAGGCATGCTCCAGATACACTCTAAATGTCTTACGAAGAAATTTCCCATAATACGAAGGAAATGGCGCAAGCATAATACGAAGGTGGTTTTTCTTCATATTACGAAGGTTTTTCTTCGTATCTTACAATGAAAAAGCTAAAAAGATTCGTATTACGAAGGAATATTGCTTCGTATTATGCTTGCACCGAATTCACTGTAACATACGAATAACATAGGTCAAGTTTCACTGTAAGACTTGGAGTGTTGTACGCTTTTGGGTTTGTAGAGTTGCTTAATACTCCTTACAGTACAGTGATCAGTATAGTAAGATGCAGCTGTTAATAGTCGTTGGATACTGTACTAAACGTAAGAAAAGCGTCAGGTAGAATGACGTCTAGTACTGCACAAAGAGATCTTATCTTACAGTCTCCTAGGAAAATATCTTATCTGATCGTTCGCGGGAAAAAGACGCCTGATCTCAAAGTGTAGGCTTATTTCTCTGGGTTTGATCGTCCAAGTCGATTTAGAGCGTAAACGGACATAAAAACCAAAAGCATCGCGCTAGTTTATGTGGT